ACGCTGCTCTCCTCCAATCAGGAGCAGGATCAGCTCCTGCAGGTTACTGGTCGAACTGGAGGCAGCTGTGTAAAAGTTGTTTACTCCTCTCCCAGCGCCATATTGTGGGAGAGCAGATGCATAGAATAAGTCTTAATTCCAGTAACTTAGTCTAGTCCGAGTTGCTCCCCACATCTTCCTTTGCCGTTGGTTCACCCTCCAATGGCCGCCGTGGCCGACACGCTGCAGCCGGCGCACTGTGCTGATCCGAAGGCGGGAGCCAGGTGCTTCTCCTGGTCTCCCATGCAGGTGCAGGGCCGAAGGGCTTGGGCCATCCTCTACTGCACTCCCGGGCCACAGCAGAGAGCTGACCTGGAAGAGGGGCAACCGGGACAGAATCCGGCGCCCTGACCAGGACTAGAACCCGGTGTGCCTGCACCACTAGGCGGAGGATTAGCCTATTGAGCTGTGGCGCCAGCCCAAATCCATCTGTCTTAAAAAGAAAAAAAGCCCAGTCCCATAGTAGATTGCCCCCCACTTCAGACAGCAATTGCAAGTTTTGAGCCTCTCTCATTTCTGACCGACTAAATTGGGAGTTCCCATGACTCCCTCTTTAGGTTTAATAATTTGCAAGGATGACTCACAGCACTCAGAAAATCACTTGCAGTTACTAGTTTAGTGTGAAGGATGCAATTTAGGTAGCCAAATGGAAATAATGTGCAGAGCAAGGTATGGGAGGTGATGCTTAGACCTTCTGTGTCCTCTCCAGATGTGCCACCCTCCCAGGGCCTTTATGTGAAATAAATCATCCCTGGTGAGCTGTTAAAATAATACCATTATGGGGCAGACATTGTGCACAGCAGGTTAATTTGCCACTTGGGATGCCCACATTCCATATTGCAGTGCCTGGCTCATATCCCGGCTACTCCACTTCTGATCTTTAGTCTTCTGTTAATGCATCCCGAAAGACAGCAGATGATGGCTCAAGTGCTTTGACTCATGCCACCCATGTAGGAAACCCTAGAAGAGTTCCAGGCTCCTGGCTTCAGCCTGATCCAGCTGTTGCAGGCACTTGAGGAGTAAACCAGTAGACTAAAGATCAGTCTCTCTGCCTTTCAAGTGTATGAAAGTAAATAAAACATTTTAAACAGTAATACCAGTAGTGAACAAGAGCCATGTTGCTTTTTTGCAGCTATATCAAAAATGCACTATTACCTATTAAGCTTGCCTAGTTACTCAAGTGGGCCAAATTTGACTCACAGATAGATGTTTTCCCAGCCCTATTATTTATTTTCTACTGAGCAGACTATATACTATGCCACTGAAGAGTCTCAGTTTTTCTAGTGCTAATTTTTTTAAAGGTTTATTTATTTGAAAGGCAGAATTACAGAGAGACAGACAGACAGACAGACTGACTCACTCTTCCATCCACTGGTTTACTCCCCAAAATGGCTGCAACAGCCTAGGTTTGGCCAGGTCAGAGCCAGGAGCTAGGAACCAGGAGTCTCATCCAGACTCCCATGTGGGTGCTGGGGCCCGAACATTTTGGCCTCTCTCCACTGGAGCTGGATCGGAAGTGGAGCAGCTGGGACTTGAACTGGTTCCCAGTGATGTGGGATGCCAGCGCTGTAGGCAGCAGCTTAACCTGTTAGGTCACAGTGCTAGCCCCCTAGTGCTAATTCATAGGGTGGTCACCACAGTTGGGTTTGTTTTTTTAAGTCTATTTTCTCTTTGTAAACGTAATTTGTTTTTAAAATGGACTTTATTTCTTAGTGCAGTTTGAGTTCACAGTAAAATTGAGCAGAAGGAACAGATCTGTTCCCAATAGCTGCCTCTATTATCAACACTCCTCTAATTTATTTGTCCATTTGCCTTTTGAAGAATATCTTGGTTGCTTCCAAGTTTTGGCAGTTATGAATAAAGCTGCTGTAAACATCTATGTGTAGGTTTTGTGTGGCTACACGGTTTCATCTCCTTTAGCTAAATATTGAAGTGCACAGTTGTTGGATTGTATTATAAATGTATGTGTAGTTTTGTAAGAAACTTGTAAACTGTCTTTCAAATTGAAGTACCATTTTGCATTTCCACAAATAATGAATGAGCGTTCCTGTTACTATATATCCTGGCCAGCATTTGATGTTGTTAATGTTCTGGTTTTGACCATTCTTACAGGTGTATAGTGGTATCTCATTGTTGTCTGAGTTTCATTTTCCTGGTAACATAATATGAACCATTTTTTCTATGCTTATCTGCCTAAACTTAAATTTTTTAGAGCAGTTTTAAGTTCACATCAAAATAGAAGGAAAAGTATAGTGTTGCCATGTACCACATCCCTACCCTATACAAATCCTCCCCCATTGTCACCATCTTCCACCAGAATCATAAAAAATCAAAGAATATACACTGGCATATCATCAGGCAAAGACAGTGATTTAGATTAGGGCTCATTTTTGATGTTGTAGTGCCTAGGACTTTGATAAATATATAGTGTCAGGTTTCCATAATTACAGTGTCATACAAAATAGTTTCAATTCCCTAAAATACATGTGCTCTGTACTCTGTATTCTTTCCTCCTCCTGGTTGTTGTAGTAATTATAAAGTAGAATTTACTGAAGTAACAGTTTGTAATTGAAGATTTCTATAGTTTATATCACATTTATTTGTTATAAATATAGGGGAGAAGATCTTCCTCTCTTGATGTGGCTTTGGGGTCTGTGAGCAACTATCTGGATTATGTAGAAGAGTGATGTTAAATCATTTGCTTTTTGCTATTACAGTTTTCTTCTTACAGATTAAGATTATTCCTAATTATCTCTGGTGAGAAAACAGAGAACTTTTTCTGAGTTTCCTTTTTCTTTTTCATAAAAAGTGGAATTGAAGCATTGAAGCAGAACAAGTTAGTGTGGTCCCCTGCTGGTGATTTTTGTAGATTGTTTTAAACTTCTTCCAAACTGCCTTGAGAACTTGCGCCCTGGTCCTCTTTTTTTTTTTTAAGATTGATTTATTTATTTGAAAGGCTGAGTTACAGAAAGGGTGAGGTGGAGAGAGAAACATCTTCCATCTGCTGGTTCATCCCCTCAAATGGCCACAGTGGCTGGAGTTGGGCCAATCCAGAGCCAAGAGCTTCCTCCAGGTCTCCCATGCAGGTGCAGGGGCCCAAGGAGTTGGGCCATCTTCTGCTTTCCCAGGCCATAGCAGAGAGCTGGATCAGAAGTGGAACAGCCAGGACTCGAACTGGCACCCTCATGGGATGCTGGCACTGCAGGCAGCAGCTTTACCCGTTATACCACAGCGCCCCCCCATCCCAGTTCTATTTTTGTTATTAGTTTTCTGTTATCTAGAAAGTTATAGGTAGCTTTATAATTTAAATATGCATTATCCTTGGAACTTGTGAATTTTTGGAATTTCAATTAAAATTTTCAAATTTCTCTTTAGTCTCTCCCAGACATTGTATTTTTTGCTTTAAAAGAGTCATTTTGGGCCGGCGCCACAGCTCACTAGGCTAATCCTCCGCCTGCGGCGCCAGCACACTGGATTCTAGTCCCGGTCGGGGTGCCGGATTCTTTCCCGGTTGCCCCTCTTCCAGTCCAGCTCTCTGCTGTGGCCCGGGAGTGCAGTGGAGGATGGCCCAAGTCCTTCGGCCCTGCACCTGCATGGGAGACCAGGAGAAGCACCTGGCTCCCGCCTTCGGATCAGCACAGTGCGCCGGCTGCAGCGTGCCGGCCACGGTGGCCATTGGAGGGTAAACCAACGGCAAAAGGAAGACCTTTCTCTCTCTCTCTCACTGTCCACTCTGCCTGTCAAAAAAAAAAAAGTCATTTTGTGGGGCCGGTTCCAGGGCACACTAGGTTAATCCTCCACCTGCAGTGCTGGCATCCCATATGGGCGCCGGGTTCTAGTCCCAGTTGCTCTTCTTCCAGTCCAGCTTTCTGCTGTGGCCTGGGAAGGCAGTGGAGGATGGCCCAGATGCTTGGGCCCCTGCACCCACATGGGAGACCAGGAGGAAGCACCTGGTTCCTGGCTTCGGATCGGCACAGCTCGGGCCATTGCAGCCATCTGGGGTGTGAACCAGCGGATGTAAGACCTCTCTCTCTCTCTCTCTCTCTCTCTCTCTCTCTCTCTCTCTCTAACTCTGTCTTTCAAATAAATAAATATTTTTTTTAAAGAGTCATTGTGGGGCATGGGTGATACTATGAACTAATTAGTAAAGTTTTTCTGATAGTTGGTCTTAGTGTGCTTATAAATATTTGAACAGCAGTAGACAGTATATTGTCGCTCCCCCTCTTCATGGAGGAACGACACAGGACCCTGCGTTGTTCTTTCGTCTGCTCGGCCCTCCCCGGGTTTGCTGCTGGTTCTTCCCGGGTTGGCTACTATCCCTTGCACCTCCGTGGAAGGGCGGTTCCCCCTGGCCACATTCCCCACTTCCGCAGGGGAGCGGCACACCGCCGGCCGGCTCTCTCGGGGGGTGCACAGGCGTTCCCCTTAGATGTTCCCCTTAGATGTTCCTGGTGCATGCCGTCTCTCTCCTCCTTTATAGTCCTCCTCCGCCAATCCTAACTCAGCTGCCCACACGCTGAGTACGCTGCTCTCCTCCAATCAGGAGCAAGTCCTACAGTTTATTGGTTGAACTGGAGGCAGCTGTGCAGAAGCTGTTTTCTTCTCTCCCAGCGCCATATTGTGGGAGAGCAGATGCATAGAATAAATCTTAATTCCAGTAACTCAGTCCAGTCCGGGTTGCTCCCCACAGTATATAGGATCCCATATTCTGGACATAGTAGGTATTTAGTAAGCATTCTTTGGTTGCTTGATTTCTGTGAGCTTTAGTAATTTCTCCAACCTCTTCGAAAAATAGGATATTTGGTGTCTCAAAATCTCATCAAAATTTATCACCAGTAGAACATTTTTGATAAAGCCATGCAGTCTTTTTCACGGTAATATTCCTATTATTTTACTTGTATATCTGGTAAGCTGACATCCAAGAATAAAATGTTATAGCTTTAATTCTGTTTTGTTTTCAGAACTCATCGTCTTGGCTTATACCTATCCTGCCTGATATGCTCCGACACATTTTTCAATTCTGTGTTTTAGAAAGCAGTCAGGAAATTCTGGACCTCATTCACAAGGTACACGATGAATATCTCTACTGTGTTTTTAAATTTACTTTGTAAATTTTTAAAAATTTTTCTCATAATTGCTGTTCTGTTAGGATTTTAGAAAATAGAGATTTGAAAAATCTGGCATCCTAATTTGCAAGGTGACATGGGAGTTAAGTTCTGGTTGACCGTTTTTTCCTCCTCTTACTATATGACCTCCTAAACATGTTTTAAGCATTTTCTGATACCCTCAATAAAGTAAAGAAAAAAACACTGCTGTTCTTTAGCCCTCATTTGCTGTTTCTCAGTAGGCTTATAGATCCTGCAAAGTATCTTTTGGGATCTGTTGATATTGTACAATCTCATTATCAGAGTTTCAGATTTGTGGATTTTCCTTTTAGCAAGATTTGTCATAAAAGTTATGTTGGAATATTGATAGGACTTGATACATTTAATAGCATTTATAAGGGAAATGGCACTTTTTATCCTTAGAATCTGTAGCTAGTCTTGAATTTTTGTTACTCATGTTAGCAACCTTGGATTAACAATGATGTTATTTCTATATATTGGTCCTAGCCTGTGAAATATTGGTCCTAGCCTGTGAAATGTTAGGCATCAAAAAAGATACTTTATTGTATGTGATCAAGATTCAAGGCTTACACTGTTTTAAATTTATTTTAGGGTATCACCACCTCTAAATTTAGCAGAGTGTGTTTATCAGGAACTATTACTTTTTTTTTTTTTTTTTTTTTAGATTTACTTATTTATTTGAAAGAGTTACACGGGGGGGGGGGGGGTCTTCCATCCGCTCGTTCACTCCCCAGTAGGCCGCAGTGGCTGGAGCTGCGCCGATCTAAAGCCAAGTGCCTGGAGCTTCTGGGTCTTGCACATGGGTGCATGGGCCCAAGGACTTGGGTCATCTTCTGCTGCTTTCCCAGGCCATAGCGGAGAGCTGGATCGGAAGTGGAGCTGCTAGGACTTGAACTGACCCCCAGGAGCTATTATGTCTTAAAGTGGGTGTTGAAGGACCAGCTTTGTGGTAGAGCTGGTTAAGCCACTGCCTGCAATGCTGACATCCCATATGAGTGCTGGTTCAAGCCATATGTGTTGAATGTAGGATTGTATAAGTATTATCAAGTGTTATCAAAGGATCTCAGTGACTTAATGAGATTTTTGACAGCTGTTACTTATGGGCATATTTTATTTAAAAATCTGTAGAAGACATTGAAGATTCCTTATATTCCTTTTTTTTTTTTTTTTTTTAAGACTTTATTTATTTATTTAGAAGCAGAATTAGAAAGGGAGATCTTCTGTCTGCTAGTTCACTCCCCAAATGGCTATAGCAGCCATGGCTGGGCTAGGCTGAACCTAGGAGCCAGGAGCTTCTGGGTCTCCCGAGTGAGAGCAGAGACCCAAGCACTTAGGCTGTCTTCTGCTGCTTTTTCAGGTGCATTAATAGGGAGCTGAATCAGAAATGGAGCAGCACAAACTGGCACCCATATAGGATGCTGGTGTTGCAGGCAGTGGCTTTACCCATTACATCACAACCCTAACCCCTATATTCCTTTTTTCAAAAAAAATTTGTGTTAGATTTTTTAGTCTGCAAACCTATCAAAAAAAAAAGTATTGTAAAAATAAACCTGTATTAAATTCAGAATGAAACATTGTGATATTTCCTATTTTTTTCAATTCAGTAACCTTAAAAATAGGTAAGTATTAGATTTTTGAGCACTCATTAGAAGAATTTATTTTCATATTCACCTTTCACTGTAGGTTTGGATGGAACTGTTGAGCAAGGCTTCGGTTCAGTATGTGGTGGCAGCTGCTTGTCCATGGATGGGTGCTTGGCTTTGCTTAATGATGCAGCCTTCTCACTTACCAATTGATCTAAATATGTTACTAGAAGTAAAAGCCAGAGCCAAGGTATGTGTAGAGCTACATGATGTATTTGTATATTCAGCTCAGAATCATTAGTACAGTAACCATATAAGAAATCAATACAGCTTGATTATTAATGTGATTCATAAGTAAAGAGAAATTGTTATTAGGACCCCAACAAAATGAGTGATAATTTTTATCCATTAAAGTTTTGTGAAAAGAATGGTATTATACTGGGACTATAACAGTGTGTTTGTTGTTGTCCATTAAATTTTAATGATTTATCTTGTTTTTTCTTCTTTCATTCTAGGAAAAAACAGGAGGTAAGGTACGCCAGGGCCAAAGCCAAAGTAAAGAAGCACTTCAGGAGTATATTGCCGGTGCAGACACCATTATGGAAGACCCAGCCACCAGGGATTTTGTGGTTATGCGGGCCAGAATGATGGCAGCCAAGTGAGTATACACCAAGAATCCACAGAACCCCTCTGAACAATCAATTGAAAGGTTTGGCCTTCAAAGGTCATTTAACCGAAAGATTCTTCTCATGTTTCTGTCAATCTTTCCTTGCAGCCTAGGGAAAAATGAAAGGGAGTAAGTGAATTTTTTTGAGTTCTAAAAATAGAATTTTTTATGTTTTTATGAAGATAAGATAGGAGTTATATCTTCTATGGGAAAAGTTAGGTGTTTAGTAGGGGAAAGATTACTTCAGGTAATTTCTATAGTAATTTCTTTATCTTGTAGGTTATTAGGAGCACTTTGTTGCTGTATTTGTGATCCAGGTGTAAATATGGTAACCCAAGAAGTCAAACCAGCTGAATCCCTTGGCCAATTACTCCTGTTTCATTTGAATTCCAAATCTGCATTACAGAGGATTAGTGTTGCTTTGGTAATCTGTGAATGGGCTGCTCTACAGAAGGTACGATACTTATCACAAATACAGTAAGGACGAATGAAGTAAAACAATTTCCATTAGCTGTTAAAATTATTTACATTATATTTTACAACAGAAGAATAGTTTTTCTGTGTAAAAATTTAACAGTTACAGAAAATTATTCCAGATTATATTGAACATTATTTTTTTCCCATTTAACTCTAGATTTTTTTTTACTTAGAACTCTCCATTCTTGTCCCTGTCAGTACTAGCAATGCGCATACTTAATATTTGCTCTTGACCTTACGGTCTGTTAAGAAGTGTCCCTATTAAAACATGTATATGTATGGAAGCAGTCCAGAAAATATTGGTCATTCATTCTTCTCTAAACTTATCAGATATCACTGAAAACAAAGAATAAGAGGCTTTGAATTTTAGACATCTGTTTTTATGGGTAGTAGCAAGGGCAGAATAAAAAATTTTGGTCACAGGAAGAATGAAGTTTCCATATTTAAATGGAGTTTTGTTTAAGACTTGTTTCTGTAAATCAAAGAAACTTCCTGCTGGCTTTGTTTTTTCGTTGACTGGTATTCTGGAAATTTAACTGTCTGCACTTGCTGTGAGAGTTGCTTGTTACTGCCTCTTAGCAGTTTGTCAAAACTGTGTCTAAAAGTAATTGAGCTGTGCTCTGTTGCAACTGAGACCCCTGCTTTGCCTCTGGAAAGAAGCAAGGCTCATCAGTTTTTAGGCAGGACTCGGTGTGCTGGAGAGGCAGTGATGCTGTGTTTTTGTGCCTCTCAGACTCAGCAGCAAGTGTTGACAGTTCGGTTTCTGGACCCTCACAGAGCTTCTCTGGATTTACTCTGTGAAGCCCAGGCTGATCACCCAGATCCCACAGAACCCCTCTTGGCTCACCACTGAGGCCATTCCCCCTCTGGTTGGGGCAGGCAACAACCAGAGAGAGTGGGAAGGGTTAGTTAAATTTGGGGGCAGGTAAGTAGTTTTTAAATTATATATCCATTTCTAAAGTATGGCATGTGAAACTGTGGGCTAAACTGTTAAGTCTAATAATGAACTTTTAAGTAACATTTATATTTAGTGCATGCTAGATATTCTTCTGATAAATTTTATAGTAATATACATTTAAATCTGTACTACAGATAGATCCATACATATATATATACATAAATTTTCAATAAATTCAGAGTAAAGGTAAGAGCAATTAGACAGAAAATTTAATGGAATTATAGTCCCAATGCATGTTGTGTAGTCATTCATATTAAAATGTAGGTTGGATGTTAGTATCTTTTCTCTGTGCAACTAACTATTGTTCTGGGATAGAATATAACATAGATTCAAAATCAGTAGGAATTTGGAACTTTCAGATTTTGTATGTATAAAGTTGTATTTATTTATTTATTTGCCCTGAATATTTGTTGTCTATTATGTTTTAGGAGTGTAAAGCTGTTACCCTAGCTGTGCAACCACGTTTACTTGATATCCTTTCAGAACATTTATATTATGATGAAATTGCTGTTCCATTCACACGAATGCAGAATGAATGTAAACAGCTTATATCATCATTAGCTGATGTACATATTGAAGTTGGTAATAGAGTAAGCAACAATGTTTTAACAATAGATCAAGCTAATGACCTGGTGAGTAACAAAGTCGCTTTCTTAATTTTAGATAGAGTGTGAAATAAAGATTAGAAATTTTGTCATGACCTGTTTACCTTTAAACACACTAATTTGTTGAGTCTGGTAGCCTTTTTTCCCTAACTTTTGGAAGGGTTTTTTTCTTTGTTACCTGTTTTTGAAATAAGGATAAGGAATGGGGAAAAGGTGTTTTTTTTTTAACTAAAATTTTGATAAACTATAGAAAAAGCAATAACATTTTGATATTTGGATTAGTCTTTAAAAATATTTATTTATTTATTTATTTATTTGAAAGTGAGAGTTGGGGCTGACACTGTGGTAAAGCAGGTAAAAGCCGCTGCCTACAGTGCTAGCATCCTATGTGGGCACTGGTTGAAGTCCCGACTGCTCCATTTCCAATCCAGCTCTCTATTATGGCCTTGGAAAGCAGTAGATGGCCCCCAAGTCGTTGGGCCCCTGCACCCGCGTGAGAGACCAGGACGAAGCTCCTGGCTTTGGATTGGCTCAGCTCTGGTTGTTGCATCCATCTGGGGAGTAAACCAGATGGTTCAGAGTGAGAGGTAGAGAGAGAGAGATCTTCCATTCACTGATTTACTCCCCAAACTGCTGCAACAGCCGGGGTTGGGCCAGGCCAAAGCTAGGAGCCTGAAGCTTCTTCTGGGTCTCCCACATGGATGCAGGGACCCAAACAGTTGGGCCATCTTCTGCTGCTTTCCCATGTTCATTAGTAGGGAGCTGGATCGGAAGGGGAGCAGCCAGGACGTGAACTGGTGCCCATATGGGATGCTGACATCTCAAGCGGTGATATACAGTGCCACCCCATTATTCTGATTCCATATCCTCTCCCCCATAAATTACTTTTGCTTATTCTAGAATTTCACATAACTGGAAAGAATTGCTGTATTCTTTGGGCCATCTTCTGCTTTTTTTTTAGGCAAATAGTAGGGAGCTAGATTGGAAGTGGAGCAGCTGGGACAGGAACTGGCACCCATATGGCACGCTGGAATTGCTGGCAATGACTACCCACAGTATCTTACTATGTCTTCAAACTTATACAAACCTGGGATTTTTATTGTAACAGAAATATCCTCTGTTATCCACAGTTACAAATCATGTCAGCATTTTCTTTCAGAAAATTTCATGTGTTTATCCTTCTGTTTCTGTTGTCACAGCCTAATCCAAGTCCTTAGTACTTTATGTGCAGGTCCTGATTTACTTTTTCTTCTTCTTTTTAAGATTGATTTATTTATTTGGAAAAGTTAGAGTTTCCATTTCCTTGCTTTTAGTTTTTCCCTCATTACCTTCTCTAAACTTCACTTCTTTTTTTCTTCATTATTTCTCAGTCTTCTTCCAGCCAAGCCTTTTTAATTTTCTTTTTGCAGAAGTACATCACACTTCTTTCTTTGCCTGAGATCCAGTTTCCTTTGCCAGGGATTCCCTGTGCCCAATCCTTTTCATTCATCCAGAGTTCCTCCATCTTCATCTCGTGCTTAGACCAAGATACACTTTTCAGTTCCTTGGACAACATCCTGCTTTCCACTCCCTACCTCACTTCATCTGTTTGCCAAAATGTCCTTATAACCTCTGGTTTACCCATTCTTAAAAACAAGTTAAATGTATTAACCTCTTCTGTTCCGTCTTCATTAATCTCTTCTGTTATGGTGAGTGAAGCAGCCCTCTGTAATGCCACAGCAACTTGCTTGTAACCTTTGTTATATGTTACATTATCTTAAATCTTTTTATTTTAAGATAATGGACTTTAAAAAAAATTTTATTTTCATTTCATTTAAAAGAGTTAAGAGGTGGTCTTCCATCTGCTGGTTCACTCCCCAAATGCCTGCAACTGCTAGGGGCTGACTGAAACTGAAGCCAAGCACCCAGAACTCAGTCTGAGTCTCTTGGAGTGGCAATAGACCCAGCACTTGGGCTCTGCGTTAGGTGGGAGCTGTTCTGGAAGTAGAGCTGCTTTAACTCGAACCAGTGCTCCAATATGGGATGCTGACACTGCAAGCAGCAGCTTAACCAACTATATCATGATGCCAGCCCTAGGTTTTCTTTTTGGGTTGATGAAAATATTTTAAAATTGATTCATAAGTCTTTGAATACACTAAAAACAGCTAAATTGTGTACTTCAAATGGGTAAATTTTGTGACATTTGAATTGTGTCTCAAGGTATTAAAGACTGAATAGTCCTTCAATTAGGTTTGTAAAGTAGAAAGTAGTGAATTTTGAATTATTAGTTTATTGCTTATAGCCTTTTCATTTCATTTCATTGAAGTATTCTATGTATTAAGGGTGATTTTTCCCTCAGTCTAATTAGATACATTTAAAGGATGAGTAGTTCTTTTTCTTCTCTAGTAACTGTGCATTTGTTAAAAAATATATGTATATATAATGCTAAAATATTTATAATGCTAATGCAAATGTTAAATTCAGATTAAAACAGTTTAGTTGGGATATGTTAGATGTTTAATTTATTGAGTACTGAACCAGTACTATCTATTGTGGAACTTGGAATTGAAACTAAAGGTTTACTGTCTGCCCTTTGGGAGTTTAGAGTCTATTGGGGTTGACATAACTAATTTTTAATTTCTTTTTTTCCTGTTAGGTCACTACTGTTTTTAATGAAGCCACATCATCTTTTGATTTAAATCCTCAAGTGTTTCAGCAGTTAGATAGTAAACGACAGCAAGTCCAAATGACAGTTACAGAGACCAACCAGGAATGGCAAGTGTTGCAGTTGAGAGTGCATACTTTTGCCGCATGTGCTGTTGTGAGCTTGCAGCAGCTTCCAGAAAAGTTAAATCCCATCATAAAACCATTAATGGAGACAATTAGAAAAGAAGAAAATACACTAGTACAAAACTATGCAGCTCAGTGCATAGCTAAACTACTTCAGCAGTGCACAACAAGGACACCTTGTCCTAATTCAAAAATTATTAAAAACCTCTGTAGTTCACTTTGTGTGGATCCGTATCTAACACCTTGTGTCACATGTCCAGTGCCTACACAAAGTGGCCAGGAAAATTTTAAAGGTTTGTATCAATAAACATTTATTTGGGGTAAAGAAAGAATTAAACTCTTTGATTTGTTTTCATTTACTGATCGATATAATTTAAGTACAAATCTAGTTTATGTTAGACCCTTTTCACATTCTCGGAAAAATATTTTGGTTGTAACAACATTACTTGTTACATGAATTTATGTATACTGCTGATAAATCACAACCCTCTTAAATTCAAACAAGCCCTTCACAGAAGACCTGCTATCTGATAAAGATGACTGAAATCTGTAAGATTTCATCTCCCTCTTCCCCTTTATTGTTGTGTAAGGCAGCAGTATTTTCTAATAGTCATTGTCTGACTTCATGGTGACTGTGGAATTGGTTTTAATGATACTTATTAGGCCTAACACAGTTTTTTTCTTTTTAAATGTATATAGTTTTTTGTTTTTGTTTTTATGGACAGGCAGAGTTAGAGACAGAGAGAAAGGTCTTCCTTCCATTGGTTCACCCCCCAAATGGCCGCCAGGAGCCAGGTGCTTCCTCCTGGTCTCCCATGGGGGTGCAGGGCCCAAGCACTTGGGCCATCCTCCACTGCCTTTCCCGGGCCACAGCAGAGAGCTAGACTGGAAGAGGAGCAACTGGGACAGAACCGGCACCCCAACCAGGACTAGAACCTGGAGGATTAGCCGTGGCGCCAGCCATAAATGTATATACTTTTAATTGATGGCACAATCCTTGTATGTGGTATTTCTTGTTTGCCTGATTCTGCAACACTGATTGTGTTAGGCATAGATGCTGTGCAAATATTTTTATTACCATCTCATTGTCTGAAGAAAATTGAGGCCTTTAAAGACAGTTTTAAAATATGTTTTTATCCATTTTTGAGTGGAAAACATTTGGTCACCTACGATTAAAAGTTTAACTTTTGTCCTTGTTAGGATCCAACTCAGAAAAAGATGGGATGCACCATACTGTTACCAAGCACAGAGGTATAATTACACTCTATAGGCATCAGAAAGCTGCCTTTGCTATCACAAGTAGACGAGGTCCTACCCCCAAAGCGGTAAAAGCTCAAATAGCAGATTTTCCTGCAGGGAGTAGTGGAAGCATCTTTATTGAACTTGATGAGGTAAGCAGTTTTCTTTGAATACTTCAAAAATGTTTTTGAAAGTTTGTTGTTGTTGTTGTTTATTTGAGAAGTAGAGTTATAGAGAGAAGGTGAGACAGAGAGAGAGGCCCTCCACTTGGGCCATCTTCTTCTGCTTTCCCAGGCCAGAAGCAGAGAACTGGATGGGAAGAGGAGCAGCCAGGACACGAACCCATGCCCATAGGGGATGCTAGCGCCACAGGCGGAGGCTTAGCCTACTGCGCCACAGTGCCAGCCCCTGAATAATTTATAAACAGATATGTGGCTTATAGATTGAGAACTTAGGTTGTCATAGCAACATCCAGAACTGTTTTCTCACATTTTAAGTGAGAGGACTGTGTTTAATGACTTTTTGGAGTACTCTGGCAACATAATAAAAAAAGAAAGCACGCTTCTACAAATTGCTCACATTTTTTGTAATTTTTACTGTCTTTAGAGAAGATATTAAATAATAGTGAAAGCTACCTTTTCTCAGTCCTATCAATGTCAGGAATTCTTGTTGATATTTAGAGAGTAAGTTTACAAACCTCAAACTGTCACCCACCTGATTTTTAATCAACCTTGAATTTATTAAATATGTACTGTGACTTACAGATCTAAACTTACTTTCTTCTGTGAACAGCCAGTTTTCCCTCTCTTAAATCCTTTCTCTCTGCTTTCTAAAGGGACTTCAAGATAATCATGCTTCATATTTCTGATGGTATATTCTTTCCATTCCATTCCACTGGTCTCTGTGTTCTACAGTATAGACTTCTCTAAATTCAAATAATAACCCATAATAAAAAGGGGTTAGTGGTTTGATTTTAAAAGCTTAGTCATATTAGTAACAATAGAACGAAAGTTCTAGTTTTTTTGTTTTTTTTAAGATTTATTTATTTGAAAGTTGAGAGAGAGAGAAAAAGAAATCTTCCCATCAGTTGGTTTGCTCTCCAAATACCCACAGCAATTGGGACAGGGCAGTACTAAAGCCAGGAGCCAGGAACTCCATCCAGATTGGACTGAAAGCACACAGCAGCCAGGACTAGGAACCGGGAACTCTGATAGGGGATGAAGCATTCCAATCTGCAACTTAACCTGGAACACCAATGCCCCTAAAATATATGATTTTGGGTGGGGTAGGGGAGCAGTTTGGTGGACTGTAATGGCTACTGAATAAGAAGTTACTGAGGGAGCCTGGCACTGTGGTGCAGCAGGTTAAAGCCTTGGCCTAAAGCGCCAGCATCCCATATGGGCACTGGTTCTAGTCCTAGCTGTTCCTCTTCCAATCCAGCTCTCTGCTATGGCCTGGGAAGGCAATGGAAGATGGCTCAAGTCCTTGGGCCCCTGCACCCACGTGGGAGACCCGGAAGAAGCTCCTGACTCCTGAATTCGGATCGGCTCAGCTCTAGCCGTTGTGGCCATTTGGAGACTGAACCAGCAGATGGAAGACCTTTCTTTCTCTTTCTCTCCCTCCCTCTCTCTCTGTTTCTCTCTTTCTCCCCCCGCCCCGTAACACTATCAAATAAATAAAAATAAATCTAAAAAATAGATAAAAAGTTACTGATCTTGTGTGAATACTATTAAGCTATTCCCTAAATATAAATAAGGAAAGCATTTTATCTCTCTGTTTTCTGATAAGTTTCTGTGGAATAGGGAGAAGAAAAAAGACATGTCACTTAGCACTGTCTCTAGAAAATATTTTTTTTATTTTATTTTATTTTATTTTATTTTTTGACAGGCAGAGTGGACAGTGAGAGAGACAGAGAGAAAGGTCTTCCTTTGCCGTTGGTTCACCCTCCAATGGCCGCCGCGGCTGGCGCGCTGCGGCCAGCGCACCGCGCTGATCCGATGGCAGGAGCCAGGAGCCAGGTGCTTTTCCTGGTCTCCCATGGGGTGCAGGGCCCAAGCACCTGGGCCATCCTCCACTGCACTCCCTGGCCACAGCAGAGAGCTGGCCTGGAAGAGGGACAACTGGGACAGAATCCGGGCGCCCCGACCGGGGACTAGAAACCCGGTGTGCCCGGCGCCCGCTAGGGGGAGGAATAACCCTAGTGAGCCCCCGGCGCCGGCCCTAGAAAAATATTTTCTTAAACCCAAAAACCCCCAAAAAGTTTTTTCACCCTTCAAACACAGAAATTTTAGGGCCCATATAAATTTAAGTATGGAAGGATGTTTTTAGTTGCCATAAATATGTCTGGTAATTGCTTAATTGGTTAATAGGAACACTAAAAATTCCAAGATGGTGACTTTTACATTCTGCTGATAAAATTTTATTTATTGATTTAAAAATATTTATTTGGGGGCTGGCATGTGGGGCTGGCATTGCGGGGTAGTAGTTAAAACCACCACTTGGGATGCCAGCATCCCATATAGGCACCAGTTCACGTCCTGGCTGCTCCACTTCCAATTCAGCTCCCTGTTATTGCACCTGGGAAAGCAGTGTAGGATGGCTCAAGTACTTGGGTCCCTGCCACTCACGTAGGAGACCAGGAAGAAGCTCCTGGATCCTGGCTTCGGCCTGGCCCCAGGACTAGCCGTTGCAACCATTTGAGAATCAGCAGATGAAGGTTCTCTATCACTCCCTCTCTCTGTAATTCTGACTTTCAGATGAATAAATAAATCTTAAAATTTCAAAAACCATAAAAATATTTATTTGGGAGGTAGAGTGACAGCACTGCTGGTTTACTTCCTATAGAGCCACAGCAGTCACATCTGGGTTGGACTGAAGCCAGGAGCCAGTAACTGCATCCTGGTCTCTCACACAGGTGGCAGGGTCTTACGTACGTGGGCCATTCTCCACTGCCTTCCAGGCACATTAGCAGGGAACTGGAAGGGAAGCAGGGTAGGTGGGGCTCTTAACTGGCAGTCTTACATGGGATGCCAGCTTTGTAAGCTGAGGCTTAATACACTGAGCAACAGTGCCAACCCCTCTTTATAAAATTATGAATTTATTATGCAGAGAATTCTGTTTTCAACTGGCATTTAATTTTAGGCTCAGAAGCCTTACCTGGTACAACGGAGAGGAGCTGAATTTGCCTTGACAACTATAGTGAAGCATTTTGGTGGTGAAATGGCAATGATGTTGCCACATCTTTGGGATGCTATGATTGGCCCATTGAGGAATACAATTGACATAAATAATTTTGGTATGTGCATCTTTTTCTAAGTTTGGTTCTTAGCAAATTTTAATGATAAATTCATTATATCATTATATAAATTCATTATATCATTTTAAAATAAAAGTGCCTATACCTCTTTATCTCAGACCAGCAGGTAATTTAAAGTGTTAAGATTGATTATTTTTAACTTATTTCCATGTCATTCTGCATACTTTTTGCTTTTTTTTCTATTACATATTTTAAAAAATGCTTGAAAAGTATCACTATGTTAAACTATTTTTGGTATTGAGTAATACTCCAGCACTTATATTAAGGTCATGGCATTTAATTTTTTTTTTAAGTTTTCTTGATTTTATTTGAAAGGCAAGTTACAGAGAGGGAGCGACAGAGAGACTGATCTTCCATCTGCTGGTTCACCCCCCAAGGCTGGAGCTGAGCCAAGCTGAAGCCAGGAGCCAAAAGTTGCTTCTGGATCTCTCACACGGGTGCAGGGGCCCAAGGACTTGGGCCATCTTCCACTGCTTTCTTGGCGCATTAGTAGGCAGCTGGATGAGAACTGGAGCAGCAAGTTTTCTTTCCTGTACTAGCTGGAGAGGTGCTAAAAACTTTTGTAGGCTCTAAATTTTGAAAAATTTTATGTAAATTGATATTAAGACTTAATACATTTTAACAGATGGAAAGTCTCTTCTGGAAAGGGGAGATGGCCCTGCTCAAGAATTGGTGAATTCTCTACAGGTTTTTGAAACAGCAGCAGCTTCAATGGATTCTGAACTTCATCCCTTGGTAACTAATGAAAATGTAGTATTTCTTCAAGTAAAACAAATGGTTTTATTAAAAAATGTGAAAGTTTGAAAAAATGTAACTTTGATATCATCCTTAGTAATGACATTTTTCTTTCTATGGTATAACTAGACTCTTGTACTGTCAACACAACTCTTGTGGGCTTGGTAGACTACCCAATCTAGAATCTCAGAATATAGAGCATGGGGGAAAGGGCTATGAGCACAAGAGCCAGGTGTAAAAAGGAAGGAAAGCTGTTAACTCAGACCATCCTAGTAATGTAGGTTGAAGAAACAGAGCACAATAAAACCCGTTTTCAAGATAAGTATAAAGATAGTAGGAAGTTGTGGATGGGTAAGAAAGAATATTGAGAAAGGGAGAAGTTCTGCATCTTTTCTTTTTGAAAGTTAGAATGCTTAGTTTGGATTTAAGTAGATTTTCTATGAAGAGTGTTCCAATAGTAATGTTTCAGATATTTGGATGTATTTTTGGATTTAGAGCCACTTGGGATATTGAGGACTTGTCAGAATATGGGCTATCATAGTTATGTTTTAAAGAGTGGTTTCTGTAATGAATGTTCTGATTGCCTTTAACTATTCTTCTTTAGTTGGTACAGCATTTGCCTCATCTTTATATGTGCCTTCAGTACCCCAGCACCGCAGTAAGACACATGGCTGCTCGTTGTGTTGGTGTCATGAGTAAAATAGCCACGATGGAAACAATGAATATTTTTTTGGAAAAGGTTCTTCCATGGCTGGGAGCAATTGATGACAATATCAAACAAGAGGGTGCAATTGAAGCACTTGCCTGTATCCTTTTTATTTTGACTATTCAGAAATTGTATATATTTTACTTCAAGGTGATTAAAATAAAATTGATTTATTCAAATATGTGACTAAATAACATGCCTTGTTCCTTCCCAAAACCAACTTTTTTACATTTTATTTTGAACTATTTCTAGATTTTATAACAACTTACGTTAAAAGTGTTTATTTTATTATGAAAACTTTCACAGAAAATTTGAAGACTTTCTATTTTAAGACATTTACCTTTTTTTAAAGATTTATTTATTTATTTGAAAGAATTACACAAAGAGGAGAGGCAGAGAGAGGGAGAGGTCTTCCATCCGATGGTTCACTCCCCAAATGGCCACAACGGCCAGAGCTGCACCGATCCAAAGCCAGGAGCCAGGTGTTTCTTCCAGGTCTCCCACACCAGTGCAGGGGCCCAAGGAGTTGGGCCATCTTCTACTGCTTTCCCAGGTCATAGCAGAGAGCTGGATCGGAAGCAGAGCAGCCAGGCCTCAAACTGGCACCCATATGTGATGCTGGTACTTCAGGCCAGGGCATTAACCCGCTGTACCACAGCGCTGGCCCAGAAACTTACGTTCTTTAAAAATTTTATTTACTTGAAAGGCAGAATGAGCCAGCGCCGCGGCTCAATAGGCTAATCCTCCGCCTAGCGGCACCGGCACACCAGGTTCTAGTCCCGGTCGGGGCACCGGATTCTGTCCCGGTTGCCCCTCTTCCAGGCTAGCTCTCTGCTGTGGCCAGGGAGTGCAGTGGAGGATGACCCAAGTGCTTGGGCCCTGCACCCCATGGGAGACCAGGAGAAGCACCTGGCTCCTGGCTCCTGGCTTCGGATCAGCGCAGTGCGCTGGCTGCAGCGCGCCAGCCGTGGCAGCCATTGGAGGGTGAACCAACGGCAAAAGGAAGACCTTTCTCTCTCTCTCTCTCACTGTCCACTCTGCCTGTAAAAAAAGGGGGGGGGGGGTAGAACTCCCATCTGTTGATTAAGTCCCCAAATGCATGCAATGGGCTGGTGACTGGACCTAGGAACCGGTATTATAATATAGGTCTCCTGTGTGGGTGGCAGGAACCCAATTACTTGAGCCATTGTTGCTGCCTCTCAGGGTCTACAGTAGCAGGAAGCTGGAGTCAGGCACTGGGAGTCAGATGCAGGTATTCTGATAGGGGATGCTGGCATCTTAACCACGTATATAAATACTTGACCCAAGTCATCATCTTCAGTTTTTTTTTTTTTGTTTTTTGTTTTTTGTTTTTTTTTTTTTTTTTTTTTTGAAAGGTAGAGAATAGAGTGAGCGCTCCCATCTGCTGGTTCACTATCGAAATACCCATGGTGACCAGGAATGGATATACCCCAAGTCAGAAACCTGGAATTCAATCTGAGTCTTCCATGTGGGTGGTAGTGACCCAAGCACATAAGCGTTCTATTTCCCTCCAGGGTGCATATTAACTGGAAGCTGGAATCAAGCAGGGCCAGGATTCAAACCCAAGTACCCTAATATAAGATGTGGGCATCCCAAGTGGCAACATAGCTGCTGTGCCAAACAAATACCTGCCTTCAAGAGAGCTTTATTATTTTTTTAAGACTTATTTATTTGAAAATCAGAGTTATATAGAAAGAGGAAGAGACAGAGATCTTCCATCCACTGGTTCACTCTCCAAATGGCCACAGTGGCTGGGACTGGTCCAGGCTGAAGCTAGAAGTCAAGAGTTTCTTCCAGGTCTCCCACATGGGTGCAGGGGCCCAAGTAGTTGGGCCATCTTCCACTGCTTTCCCAGGCACATTAGCAGGGAGCTGGCTCAGATGTGGAACAGCCAGGACTCCGAGCGGTGCCTATATGGGATGCTGGCATCACAGGTAGTCGCTTTACCCTCTGTGCCACAGTGCCAGCCTGAGATGGCTTTTTAATAGGCAGAATGGTTTTATGTACCTTAGGAACAATAGTAATTGATCTGTTTATTTGGTTTATAATCATTTTATTTTTTTTTTTTTTTTTTATTTTTTTTTTTTTTTTTTGACAGGCAGAGTGGACAGTGAGAGAGAGAGACAGAGAGAAAGGTCTTCCTTTGCCGTTGGTTCACCCTCCAATGGCCGCCGCTGCAGCCGGCACACCGCGCTGATCCTGGCAGGAGCCAGGAGCCAGGTGCTTTTCCTGGTCTCCCATGGGGTGCAGGGCCCAAGCACCTGGGCCATCCTCCACTGCACTCCCTGGCCATAGCAGAGAGCTGGCCTGGAAGAGGGGCAACCGGGACAGAATCCGGCGCCCCAACCGGGACTAGAACCCGGTGTGCCGGCGCCGCAAGGTGGAGGATTAGCCTATTGAGCCACGGCGCCGGCTCTATAATCATTTTATTGATATTAATCATGTACTATTTAGGTAGTCTATTATAAATAGTATAGTCACAAAGTACTTTTTTTTTAATTATAAAATGACAAGACTGTCTAGATAACAAATAGACAAGGGGTCTTTTAAGGGTATGGCAGGCACACTGACATTCTTTTTTTTTTTTTTTTAATTTAAGATTCATTTATTTTAAAGTCAGAATTAGAGAGAAAGGTCTTCCACTCCCCAAATGGCCACAGCAGCCAAGGTTAGGCCAGGCTGAAGTCAGGAGTCCATATCAGATGACACTCCTGATGGCAGCTTAACCCATTGCGCCATAGTACCAGCCCCACACTGACACTCTTGAAGTATCAGAGATATTTCTCCAAGCAAGAAAGATGGATGAAAATCAAACCAGTAGAAACTGGTTCAAAAAGCTGAAGATTATGGGAGGACTGTACATAGTAGATCCACTAGATCCAGTTGGTGTTTGTTAAAAATCTGGTGGAGAGAAAAATTAGAGGGGGGAAAAAATCTGGTGGAAAATTTGGAATAAATCTTTGTGTGATAATGAGTTTCGCTATTTTATTTACTTTGTCTCACTTAAATGTGATGTTAGAATTCTAGAAGATTGTCCGAATCTTTCTGTCTTAAGAAATCTAATTTGTAAAACTTCCTTCGGCCTTCTTCAGACAAAAAATACAGTTACAGGCATGAGAAAGTTAGTTAATGTTTTCACAGAAACAACAGTGCGCAATTGCTATTATAATTGTATCACAGGCCTTCAGGGACAACCAGTGTATTCCTTTGTAATATAGAACTTAAAATATTCGTGTATGTGTTTGTGAAAACATCTACCTCAGAATAATTTTGAAGTTTCCTTAATCACTTAACTCAGGTGTAATGGAGCAACTGGATGTTGGCATTGTTCCATATATTGTCCTTTTAGTTGTTCCTGTGTTGGGAAGAATGAGTGATCAGACAGACAGTGTAAGATTTATGGCCACACAGTGCTTTGCAACACTGATTAGACTCATGCCACTTGAGGTAAGTTGAAGATACTTGGTTTATCGATTTAATATTTTCTGTATTTATCCTTAATATTTCTAATATTTTTAAAAGCAATATGTCAGGTCAAAAAAAGCAGTATTTTGAAAATGTTATTATAAGCATTAAGATTTTTATGTTCTAGTAGTTCCTTTTTTCCTATTTAACACAGTAGGATTTTTTTTTATTTTTTTTTATTATTTTTTGACTGGCAGAGTGGACAGTGAGAGAGAGAGACAGAGAGAAAGGTCTTCCTTTTGCCGTTGGTTCACCCTCCAATGGCCACCACGGCCGGCGCGCTGAGGCCGGCGCACCGCGCTGATCCGAAAGCAGGAGCCAGGTGCTTCTCCTGGTCTCCCATGGGGTGCAGGGCCCAAGCACTTGGGTCATCCTCCACTGCACTCTAGCACTGTGGCATAGTAGGTTAAGCCTCCACCTGTGGCACCAGCATCCCATATGGCCACCGGTTCAAGTCCGGGCTATTCTACTTCCAATCCAGTTCCTTGCTACTGGCCTGGGAAAGCAGCTAAGTAGGGCTCAACTACTTGGGAACACACATGGAACAACTGGAAGAAGTTCCTGGCTCTTGAATTCAGAGCCATTTGGGGAATGAACCAATGGATGGAAGATCTCTTTGTTTCTTCCTCTGTCTGTAACCCTGCCTCTCAAATAAGTAAATAAATCTTTAAAAAAAAAAAAAGAAAAAAAGATTTATTTGAAAGGCAGAGATACAGAGAGAGAAGTAGAGACAGAGATCTTCCATCTGCTGATTCACTTTCCAAATGGCTGCAACTGCCAGGGCAAAGCCAGGAGCCAGGAACACCTGATTATCCCACCTGTGTGCAGGGGCTCAGCACTTGAGTCATCCTCTGCTGCTTTCAACGCACAGTGTTTTAATATAAGTAAAACAAGAAATCAGATAGTAGTTCCTAAAACAATGATAATTAGTAGATACTGCTGTATAAATAAAATTGTTTCTGCATTTCCCTGGGCTGAATTTTAAATGAACAGTAAATTTGAAAGATAGTAATTACAACTGTGAAAAGGAAATGAAATCTATGAGAGCATGGAACAAGAAGACTTCAAGACTAATATTGGACCATTTTGGAGTGGACTCACAAGACAGAAATAGTATATTTAAGATTTATTTTATTTATTTGAAAGGCAGAGGTACACAGAAAGAGAAAGAGATCCTCCATTCGTTGTTCACTCCCCAGATGGCTATATTGGCCAGGGTTGGGCCATGCTGGAGCCGGGAGCTTCCTCCAGGTCTCCCACATGGGTGCAAAGGCCCAAGCACCTGAGTCATCTACTGATTACCCAGGTGCATTAGCAGGAAGCTGGATTGGAAGTAGCCAGGACTCAAACCGGTGCCCATATGGGATGCTGGCATAGCAGCTGGCAGCTTCAACCCCTGCACCACATTGTTGGCCCCCAGGATACATTTTCAAGAGTATTTATTACAGCATTACTCATAATAGTCTAAAATTGGAATCCATCCACATATTCTTGAACAATAGAGTAGATACGTAAATTGTGGGGTCTTATTTTGCAGCAAAAACAAACTATAGATATATAAAGCGATATTAGTGAATCCTTAACATTCAGTTCTATTTTTCTGAAGTTCTAAAACCGGTAAAAGAAACTAGGATGCATACCTAGGTGATAAAGGTATTTTTAAAAAGTAAGAAATTACTGTAAAAGTTAATCATAGCCAGTGCCACGGCTCACTAGGCTAATCCTCCGCCTTGTGGCGCCGGCACACCGGGTTCTGTCCCGGTTGCCCCTCTTCCAGGCCAGCTCTCTGCTGTGGCCAGGGAGTGCAGTGGAGGATGGCCCAGGTACTTGGGCCCTGCACCCCATGGGAGACCAGGATAAGCACCTGGCTCCTGCTGTTAGATCAGCGGGGTGCGCCAGCCGCGGCGGCCATTGGAGGGTGAACCAACGGCAAAAAAGAAGACCTTTCTCTCTGTCTCTCTCTCACTGTCCACTCTGCCTGTCTAAATAAATAAATAAATAAGTAAATTTAAAAAAAAAAGTTAATCATAGGATTACCTCTTTGGGGGGGTGCAATTATTTCTTTAAGAAAGCAGAAGAGGTTATGATTAGGTATATAGGATTAGGCATATAGGATCTTCTAGGATGATGTTGCGGCTCTTTTTTCTCCAGTAGTCGTGTGTGTTTCATAATCTGTTAAACTATATGTAATTGTATATTTGCTTCAGTAAGACCTAACAATGATTTGATAAATCTGAACATGAAAAATGTGAGTAAGTAGCTTTAATACCTACTCAAAAATCATTTTAGGCAGGCATTCCAGACCCTCCAAACATGTCAGAAGAGTTAATCCAATTGAAAGCCAAAGAGCGACACTTTTTGGAGCAATTATTAGATGGGAAAAAATTAGAAAATTATAAAATTCCAGTCCCAATTAATGCTGAACTCAGAAAATATCAGCAGGTAAGTTGTATGCTTATTTGGTAAATATGAATAGACACTTTGTCTTTCAAATGTACTTTGAAAGGTTTTAAAAATTGATTTAGTAAAATCTGTTTAGTGTCTTATGCGCATTTATTTCTCTTTTGCTAATATAAAGATTTTTTGGGAAGCTGGTGTTGTGGCACACCGGGTTAAGCTACCACTTGCCACACCAGCAGCCCATACCAGAATGCTGGTTCAAGTCCCAGCTGCTTCATTTTCAATTCAGCTTCTTATTAATGTACTTGATAAACCAAATAGGAGACAAGAATGGAATTCCTGGCTCCTGGCTTCAGCCTGGTCCACACCTAGCTATTACAGCCATCTGGGGAGTGAACCAGTAAATGGAAGATCTCTCTGTTTCCTCTTCCTCTCATTCCCTCTTTCCCCTGCCCCTCTGTTGCTTTCCCTTTTGGATGAATGAGTAAATAAATGTTTTTTCTGATTATTTTTTTGTCTGTATAAGCTTTTTAAAAAGATTTATTTATTTATGTGAAAGAGTTACAAGAAAGAAAGGCCATCCACTGTTCACTCCATAAATGGCTACAACTGCTCAGATCTGGGCCAGGCAGAAGCCAGGAGCCAGGAACTTCATCCTGGTCTCTCACACTGGTGGCCTAGACTCGGGTATATGGGCCATCTTCCACTCTCTTCCCAAGCACATTAGCAGAAAGCTGGGTTGTAAGTGGAGCAGCCAGGACTCAAACTGGCATTCTGATATGGGATGTCAGTATTGCATAGCCCTCTGTGCTTCCATCCTGGCTCCTATGTGAATGTTTTTTATTTTTAAAAAATTTATTTTCTGTGATCTGTTCACATTTATAATTCTCCTTTCTACCCTTTAACCTTGCAGGATGGTGTGAACTGGTTAGCATTTCTTAATAAGTATAAGCTTCATGGAATTCTGTGTGATGACATGGGTTTAGGAAAAACTTTACAGTCCATCTGCATTCTAGCTGGAGATCATTGTCACAGGTAAGTTAAAATGTTATTTTTAGAATTAGATTTCTAAAGTCTAATGAAGGTAAGCAAACTGGTTAATTTACTGTGTTTTCCGTTGTAAAGGGCCCAGGAATATGCAAGATCAAAATTGGCAGAATGTATGCCACTTCCTTCCTTGGTGGTTTGTCCACCAACATTAACAGGTCATTGGGTGGATGAAGTAGGTAAATTTTGCTCCAGAGAATATCTGAATCCATTGCATTATACAGGGCCTCCCACGGAAAGAATAAGGTAAGCACCATACAACAAAAAATGTCTAATCTTTGTTTTAAGTAGTATGGAAGAATAAAATTTATTAAGAAGTACTTCTAGTTAGTTCTTTTGCTTACAAAACATAGAAAATTGACTCAGGAAGGTAAGTGTACTTTGAGAAGAGACATGTTATTGAGGCTCATCAAAATTCAGGTGTGTTAGCATTGTACATTTGGTTGAGCTTTCTAAGTGTTGAAGTGGGAAACTGTCAAGAACCAAACTCAATTATGATCCCCTGTTTGAAATCTTGTGATTACAATGTCTCTTTGGTGCTGCAGTTATATTTTCCATTTTCCACCTGCTTCCCTAAGAGTTTCCTTTTGCCTTGCTCCTTCTTTATTCCCTCTCTTCCAAGATGCTCTTGGGTCACACTGGCAGTACTAGAGTTCTTTTATTTTTTATTTTTTATTTTTATTTGATAGAGTTAGACAGTGAGAGAGGGAGAAAGGTCTTCCTTCTGTTGGTTCAGCCCCCAAATGGTTGCCACGGCCGGCGCTATGCTGACTCGAAACCAGGAGCCAGGTGCTTCTTCCTGGTCTCCCATGCGGGTGCAGGGGCCCAAGCACTTGGGCCATCCTCCACTGTCCTTCAGGGCCACAGCGGAGAGCTGGACTGGAAGAGGGGCAGCCAGGGCTAGAACCCAGCGCCCATATGGGATGCCGGCACTGCAGGCAGAGGATTAACCTAGTGAGCCGCGGCGCCGGCCCTTAGAGTTCTTTTATCTTTGTTCCATTCCTGTTAAACACCAAATCTCTTATTTCCTAACTATAAATTTTGAAGGGTAGGGTCTCATTTATTTCAGTTCATCTTTGATTTACTGGTTGCTTTTTTCTTTTTAAAAAGTAGAACCTGGATTTTAAGAAGTTATTTGTTTATGTGAATGTTTATACCAGAGTTTGACAGAGACCTCTCATCTGCCAGTTCTCCCCTCAACTGCCCACAATAGCTGGGGTTGGGGGCAGGCCAAACCCGGGAACTCAATCTGGGTCTCCCCGTGAGAGTGGAAGAGATCTAGGCACTTGAAGGATTCCTTGACTTGCTGCCTCATGAGGTTGCACATTAGCAGGGAGCTAGAATTGGGAGAGGAGCCAGGACTTGACAAGCCCATGCACTCTGATAGGGAATGCAACATCTTACCTATCACTTGCTGTCATAGTGATAGGTTGCAGATTAGTCTGTATATTTGCTACTCTTCTATATTAAGAATTGTCGCTCCCCCTCTTCGTGGAGGAACGACACAGGACCCTGCGCTGTTCTTTTGTCTGCTCGGCCCTTCCCGGGTTTGCTGCTGGTTCTTCCCGGGTTGGCTGCCGCCCTTCCACCTCCGTGGAAGGGCGACTCCCCCTGCCACTTTCCCCACTTCCGCGGGGGAGCGGCACACCGCTGGCCGGCTCTCTCGGGGGCTGCTCAGGTGTTCCTGGTGCATGTTGTCTCTCTCCTCCTTTATAGTCCTTTTCCACCAATCCCAACTCTGCTACCCACACGCCGAGTACGCTGCTCTCCTCCAATCAGGAGCAGGATCAGCTCCTGCAGCTTATCAAACTGATGAGGCAGCTGCGTAGAGGTTGTTTGCTCGCTCAGCGCCATATTGTGGGAGAGCAGATGCATAGAATAAGTCTTAATTCCAGTAACTTAGTCTAGTGTCAGTTGCTCCCCACAAAGAATCACTATGGGCCCGGCGCCGTGGCTCCCTTGGTTAATCCTCTGCCTGCGGCACCAGCATCCCATATGGGCACCAGGTTCTAGTCCCGGTTGCTCCTCTTCCAGTCCAGCTCTGTGCTGTGGCCCAGAAGGGCAGTGGAGGATGGCCCAAGTGCTTGGGCCCCTGCACCCGCATGGGAGACCAGGAAGAAGCACCTGGCTCCTGGCTTCAGATCAGCACAGCGCCGGCTGTGGCAACCATTTGGGTGGTGAACCGACGGAAGGAAGACCTTTGTCTGTCTGTCTGTCTCTCTAACTCCACCTATCAAATTAAAAAAAAAAAAAAAAGTCCTGCCTGAGCCTTGGAACAAAATTGTGTTCTAAAACTATAGCAAAAGGATAGAGAAAATCTACTTAATGGAAAGACAACAAAGTCACATCGCAGAAAAAAAGGGGGTGGAAAGAATCACTGGTATTATTAAACAATATTTTAAATTGTTAATTATTATTGAGCACTTGCTAACTAGGGGATATCTAAACAGTTTTACATTTATGTAGAATTGTTTATTGTGTGGTGTGGGCCTTATGGTGCAGTTGATTAAGATACCACTTGGAACGCCCACATCCTATACAGGAATGCCTGGGATCAAGTCTTTTCATTTCCAGTCTAGTCCCTAATCATATTCTGGGAGGCAATGGATGATGGTTCAAGTCTGAGTTCCTGCCACCTGTGTGGAAGACCTGGCTGGGGTTCTTGCTCCTGGCTTCCACTGACCCAGCCCCAGCTGTTGTTAACTAAATTAAGTAAGCAGGGTAGAGTTCTGGATACAGGCAGCTAATAAAAATTTGCACTCTTAAGCAATTTACTGTAGTGTCTCTTTGTAGAAATTCAGTTCAATGTAGTTTAAGCAAACAGGAAGTTAATTTACTAACTTGAGAATTTTAGGGCTGGACTCTTGATTCAGCACATCTAGATTACTCTCATCTGCTTTTGGATTACTCTTTATTTGATCTTCCTCCCCATACATTGTAACTTACTGGTCTCTCCTGGATTTCAGTCTATGGTTTGTGGATAAGATGACCATACGCGGCCGGCGCCGCAGCTCACTAGGCTAATCCTCCGCCTAGCGGCGCCGGCACACCGGGTTCTAGTCCCGGTCGGGGCGCCGGATTCTGTCCCGGTTGCCCCTCTTCCAGGCCAGCTCTCTGCTGTGGCCAGGGAGTGCAGTGGAGGATGGCCCAGGTGCTTGGGCCCTGCACCCCATGGGAGACCAGGAAAAGCACCTGGCTCCTGGCTCCTGCCATCGGATCAGCGCAGCGCGCCGGCCGCGGCGGCCATTGGAGGGTGAACCAACGGCAAAGGAAGACCTTTCTCTCTGTCTCTCTCTCTCTCACTGTCCATTCTGCCTGTCAAAGAATAAAAAAAAAAAAAAAAAAAAAAAAGATGACCATACACAATCCTACATTCCCCCAGTTCTCTCATCATGATTCTATCAATACAAGAAATGACTAGCTGCCTTTGTTTAGGACATACCTTCAAACCAGTCTCTGTGCTTATGGGATAAAATACTGTTACTGGCCCTATCTGATTCAAATGTTTCATTGTTACTGAAGATTATGGGGACCTGAGATTGATAGCCACTGAGATTGGTGCCCCTATGGAAGAGATGCCAGCACATAACGTTTAAGTGTCTACCACATTTTGAATCAAGTGCTGAACTCTTTTCTAATCAGACTGAAAAGGGGCAACATGGCCAAGTCATAGGAAGAGCAAGCTTTCACATGACAGGCTCATGTGTATATACGAAGCAGAAGGGAGTGTGGTCTTTAGTGGGCATCTTGAAGAACCTGACATGATGTTAGCTATGGTTCTGCCTTGGAAATTGTGTTAAAAATTTTTCAGAGTCCCTGTTTCCTAATTTAATTTAATTTTTAAAAATATAGGTTACAGCATCAAGTAAAAAGGCACAATCTGATAGTGGCTTCATATGATGTTGTAAGGAATGACATAGATTTCTTTAGGTAAGAACTGAAATTTTTTACTTTAGAAAAATTTTGTATCAAATTGGAAGACCCTTTGTTTTCCTGCTTCAAAGAGTCTTTGTATAGTTCCTGACATAAGGTAAAAAATGCTAATTTTTCTCTTTATTCTTCCCTAGAAATATTAAATTTAACTACTGCATTCTTGATGAAGGTCATGTCATCAAAAATGGAAAAACAAAATTATCAAAAGCAGTTAAACAACTGACTGCTAATTATAGGATTATTCTTTCTGGAACACCAATTCAGGTAATTAGTTATTATTTTTCCTGTTTTTACAAAGATATTTGCCAGGTAACAGGTAGGCTTGCCATATGGCAGTTAATTAGTGAAGGTTTTTTTGTTTTTGTTTGGTTTTTATTTGTTTATAGGGATAATTTTTCAGTAATTATATTGCTTTTATAGTGGTTCATTTGGTATATAGCAGTATCTGAATAAACCAGGTTTAAAGGTCATTTTTAAAATGTAATTTTATGCTCTGTAGGTTGAAATCTTATGCCCAAAATATGAAAGATACATCAGATAGTACTCGACACTGACCTTTCTCCTTTCTATAGTATTATGCCACAATCTGATTTAGCATTGAAAAGCTTGAACTGATTCAGTGGTGAATCATCGTATGGTACAAGTGTGCATAGCTGTCAAGAGCCAATTGAAGGAAAGTGATTGCAGAAGTTTATCTTAAGGAAAAAAAAAAAAAAAGATGGGTGGGTATGCAGAAGTTTTCACATACTGTTGAGTCTTGTCCTCCAGAGAATGAGTTGGAAATTTTCACACCTAGCATGGATTGTCTACTCTGATGGGAAGATACCCTTGATGGTTCTCCAGTTAGTGGGAGGGTAAACACCATGCAAAGATTCTTCCATATTCTAAAAATTAATGGTTCTTTGTGTGTTTATTATCTTTTGAATTTATTTTTGGTGGTGGTTTTATTGTTTTAAGCATTAAGAGTTTGAAGTTTTGTTTTTTAAGTACATTTAAAGAGGAAAAAAACAGACTTTTTAGGCTTGAAGTACTGAGATTTGTTTTGCTTTAAAGTTATTTATATGGTGGTGCATGCTTTGTAGCATACAGCAAGTTAAGCCACAGCTTGGGACACATGTATTCTTTATTGTAATGCCTGGTTTAATTCCCCACTACTCTGTTTTTGATCCAGCTTCCTGCTAGTGTGCCTGGGAAACAGAACCCCTTCCTCTCCCCCACCCCCAACATGTCACTCTGCCTTTCAAATAAGTCAGTCTTTTGTAAAACATTATATAGTGGAAACAGTAATTTTAAATAGAAGACTAGCTTTTATTTGGATGGGATGTTTTGGGGGCTTTGTTTGCAATAAAGGCCCTTTTTCTTTTTTTTTCCTTTTCTACCTGAATGATTTAGGTCTGAAGCTGTAAAGGTAGGTTTCTGCAGTGCAGAGTCATGGTAGCCGAGAGTCAGGGATAGAGGCAGAGTTGGATTAGGAGAGTGTCCATACAGAAGGGCATCCCAGTACGGTGACTCAAAGCCTGAAGAGGGTGAGGAGGGCTTCTAGAAGAGAGGGGGTGAAAGAATACCTAAGGATACACATATACTGAGAAAGCATCCAAAAGGAGAAAGTGCTGAATTCCTTTTTTTCTTCATGAATCTTCAACAGAATAAGAAATAACTCATTTTTGTTTTGTGACCCATAAGTGCTAGGTAGATCTGTCTTACTAACTAAACTCCTGCAGGTTTTCTTTTGATGAAATGATGAGGCCAGCAAAATTCCTTAAATCTTGCTGTTAATTTGAGTATCAACGATATATTAAAAGAGTCAGAAACTTACGCATCTTTCTGCACTTCTATTTACTACTTCATAGATACCAGCAGTAGAAAATAAACACTTTGGACCGAGGCCTGTTCTGGTGAAGACTAGAGGATTTTCCCAATAACTAGAGGATACAATGTTTTCTCCAAGGATACTGATCTGAATTTTACACAATAAGAGACTTATGCCATATACCTAAAAATGTGATAATCTCTCACCTCTGTCATCATAATGGGCTTTCATAATTTCATGTTTATTAAGTGTTAAGGAAATAATCTCTACAAAAAAAGATAATTGGTGTTCCTTTTTTATATTCAGAACAATGTTTTGGAGCTGTGGTCATTATTTGATTTCCTCATGCCAGGATTTTTGGGTACTGAACGCCAGTTTGCTGCTCGATATGGTAAACCTATATTAGCAAGTAGGGATGCTCGGAGCTCCAGTCGAGAACAAGAAGCAGGTATGAAAGAGTTATAATTATAAACCCTATGCAAGTTGGATATAATTTATTTCTAGCTTTTCTGAATCCATAATGCTTTCTAACTATAAACAGGTGTTCTTGCAATGGATGCACTGCACCGCCAAGTACTACCATTTCTTTTAAGAAGAATGAAAGAAGATGTTTTACAAGATCTTCCACCTAAAATTATTCAAGACTATTATTGCACTCTTAGTCCTCTCCAGGTTAGAATTCTGGTGATTATGGTTGTTTGTAGTATGTTTACTAGCACAGTGTTTTTGTGTAAGTTTTGTGTAGTAATGTAGTTTCTACTTCCATATACTTTATGGAGTATTCTATTTCAAACAGATGTAGATGAGGCCTAAATAAATTTGTTTGGCTCTATCACTATGAGTTTAGATGTGTGCATTTTGAATATGACATAAAGACAAAATTCAGTATCATATTTGCTTTCTTATGCATCTAGTTAATTTAAAAATTTGCAAGGTGGGTCCACCAGCTGCAGCTCTGGCATCCCGTATGGGAACCACTTTGAGTTCTGGCTGCTCCACTTTTGATCCTAGGAAAGCAGTGGAAGATGGCCCAAGTGCTTGGGTCTCTGCTCCCGTGTGGGAGACCCAGAAAGAAGCTCCTGGCTTCAGATCAGCCCAGCTCCAGCTGTTGTGGCCATTTGGGGAGTGAAGCAGCAGATGGAAGATTTCTCTCTGTCTCTCTTTCTGTCCTTGAAACCTTGAAACTCTTTCAAAAAAAAAAAAATTAAAAAGGTTGCAAGGTTAAATTGATGAGAAATATACCCCTGTTTCTCCATGGGGAATCCATTCAAGACTCCTAGTGAGTGAGATTGAGGTTGTGGATAGTACAGAACCCTGTGTATTCTGTGTTTTGTTCTTAACATAATTGTTAGCAACCTAAATATGATTTTTTTCTTCCTTTTTGAGAACTTTCACCTGTTCACTTAAAGGAAGCACTTATGATATGTGGGGTTTTGTTTTTGTTTTTATTTTTGGCATTTCCAAATTGCCAGCATCACTACCTTTGTGTGTTTAGGTCATTGTAAAATAAAGTAAGAATGACCTGAACACAAGCACCATGATGCAACAGTAGCCAACCTGATAACCAACATAGCTGCCAAGTGACTAATGAACAGGTAGTATACATATCCCAGGAGGGATGGAGCAGGACAGCAGGAAAGTCCATCACTCCACTCAGAATTGTACACAATTTAAAATTTAATAGTTTATTTCTGGAATTCTTCACTTAATATTTTTTGATCATGTATAAATGAAGTCATGGGAAGTGAAACTGAGGATAAAAGGGGGGACTACTGTAAGCCTGTGTTTATTAAGGCCAGATGTTTACCAGTGGATATTATCCTCACAACAGCATTATAGGTATTGTTCATCTTCACTTTTGCAAATAAGAAAACAGAACTCGGAAAATTTAAGTATGCTGCCCATAGTCATAGAGCTAAAAAATAGATGAGGGCAGAGTTTCAAACCATGGTCTGTGGGACTTCATCCCTTTTGAAGTACTGTGTTGCCTCTACCCATTCAAAATAAATGTTGCCTTCTGTACAGTTCTTCTTTTGTACATAGAGACTGCTATTAAAGAAATTTATTGTTGTCTTCGCTTGTACTTTTTAAGAATGTAAGTGGAAACTAGTGCTTAGTAAGATATGGCCTCTAAGAATTTTTTGGCTTTTTTTTTTTAAAGATATATTTATTTGGAAGGCAGAATTACAGAGAGACAGAGAGGTTTTCCATCCACTGGTTCATTTCCCAAGTGGCCACAATAGTTGGAGCTGCGCTGATCCAAAGCCAGGAGCCCAGCCAGGTTTCCTGCTCAAGTGCAGGGAGCCAAAAACACTTGGGCCATCTTCCACTGCTTTCCCATGCCATAGCAGAGAGCTGGATTGGAAGTGGAGCAGCCAGGACTTGAACCGGTGACCATATGGGATGCTGGCACTGCAGACAGCAGTTTTACCTGCCATGCCACAGTACCATTCCCTCTGAATGTTTATGTGATAGGCTAGTGTGCATCAATCTATTTGAACAGTAGGAATTGATTCAATATAGTCATATGAGTAAAAGATATACAGACATACCCAGAAATTTGCATATCCCATCCTTCAATGTCTAGTTAACATGAGAGCCAGTATTGATCTATTCAACTTATATTTAGTGGGCATTTCACTAGTCTGGAGGCTGAGAGCTCTGTGATTCTTCTCTAATATCCATCTCATCTCTGGTTTCCTGTTCATTTGCTAAAATTGGGTTAATATTTCTTGAAAAGCACATTAAAGGGAGAATATAATAGTTTTTAAAGTAGTTATAATAAAGAAAAGATGCCATATGAGAAACATATATGGTGATAACCTGGAGTAACACATATAAATATTCTGAAAGAAGGGAGCCCTAGATGGTTTTAACATTCATTTTTATTCTCTGACTGTTCTTTAGTTCTATAAATTTTCTCTGCACTTACATTATTTCAGCATATACAGGGCAGAAACCCAGACCCCAAAGTAATGTTTCAAATGTGATCAATTTCAGTTTTTAGTCTAGCAGTAAGAATCTTCTAAAAATTTCTCTCTTGACTATGTCACTCCAAATAAGGAAAATTGTTCTCATTTACATGTAAGGATTTAGGTCCTTTTTATTGGTAATATGTATTTGTTAACAACGAAGGAACAAAGGACTATTTGGCTAGTATTTTAATATTTTAGCAGCTAAACATTTTTAATACTTGTTTTCTAAGTGAAATGTTAGAGGAACTTACCAAAGTGGGATGGATAAGACATTAGTAGTGATTTATACATGTCATATCATTTCTTTTCATTAATAAGGGCTGTTTTGAATTACTACTCCTACTAGCCTTTCCTAGTGATTTATTTTGAACAAGTGAAAACACACTGACTACATTCATGGGGATGATTTTACAGGTTCAGCTCTATGAAGATTTCGCAAAGTCTCGTGCCAAGTGTGATGTTGATGAAACGGTTTCCTCAGTTACACTTTCTGAAGAAACTGAAAAACCAAAGCTTAAAGCTACAGGCCATGTATTCCAGGTATGCACTATAATCTACTTATTACATGTTGAACATTCTTCACTGGGGCCATTTGTATATAGAAGATGGTACTGTTTTAATTTTTTTAATACTGTAGGTTAAATAATACGATATAATATACATTAAATAGGTTAAAGTACCTATTTAATATTAACAATTATATATTAATCTACAGTAGGCTGTGGTTTTTATTTATTTTTAAAGATTTATATTTGAGAGACAAAGTTACAGACAGAAGAAGAGACAGAGTGAGCTCTTCCATCTGCTGGTTAGCTCCCCAAATGGCTACAACACCTGGAGCTGGGCTGATTTGAAGCCAGGAGCCAAGAGCTTCTTCCAGGTCTCCCATGTGTGTGCAGGGGCCCAAGCACTTGGGCCATCATTAGCTGCTTTCCCAGGCTATTAGCAGGGATCTGGATTGGAAGTAGAGCAACTGGGACTTGAACCAGAGCCCATGTGGGATGCTGACATCACAGGCAGAAGCTTCGCCTACTATGCCACAGTTCCAGCCCCGAGACTGTGGTTTTTAGGTGGAGGGGTCAGGGACCACATCACTGAGAAGCTGACATTTGACTGAAGAAGATTTAGGCATACAGACGTGAAGGGGGAAGTGAGTCAAGGAAGAAGATAGAAAAAGTACAGAAGTCCTAAAATAGGTCATGCCTCATATGGTCAAGCAAATAGCAAATGAAAAAGAGATGGCTGGCCAGTGCCGCGGCTCACTAGGCTAATCCTCCGCCTTGCGGCACCAGCACACCGGGTTCTAGTCCCAGTCGGGGCGCTGGATTCTGTCCCAGTTGCCCCTCTTCCAGGCCAGCTCTCTTCTGTGGCCAGGGAGTGCAGTGGAGGATGGCCCAGGTGCTTGGGCCCTGCACCCCATGGGAGACCAGGAGAAGCACCTGGCTCCCACCATCGAATCAGTGCGGTGCACCGGCCGCAGCGCACCGGCCATGGCGGCCATTGGAGGGTGAACCAACAATGGCAAAGGAAGACCTTTCTCTCTGTCTCTCTCTCTCCTCTCACTGTCCACTTTGCCTGTCAAAAAAAAAAAGAAGAAGAAGAAAAAAAAAGAGATGGCAAGTGTCAGTTCACCTTTTTTTTCCCCCTCCTGAAGTATTTAACCATAGAAATCTTCCCACCAACAAATTGAATGCTGTAGCATTTTTAAAGATAGGAAAGGGAAAAGCTAGTTGTGAGAGAACACAAAGGGTACTGTTTCTCAAACACAACCACATGAAACAATCCCCTAGACCGCTCTTCCTGTACCAGATGTACTGATTTAGATGGGACAGGTTTGTAGTAAACATTCACACCCATTGAAGTTCAAGAAATTCTTCTTTAAGGAGATGATGCCTGTTTCTAGAAGCATCTCTATGTGTATTATGAGGCACTTTGTGGGAAGAGTTTTAAAGGAGCTGGTGAATATGATATACTTTTTGTTATGAGAAGCTCATTGTTAAGTGGGAGAGACAAACAGTGCAGTTTACACAGAATATAAATACACAGGGTGTCTGAAAAAGTTTATGGAAAATGGAATTAAAAGATAGTTTATCTTTGTGCAAAAATTTTGAAATCCATGTGTATGAGGAGCCTTTAGAAAGTTAATGAAAAATATGTACTATGAAAAGTTTCCACAAAGATTTCAAGGTGTTTTTTTTTTGGGGGGGGTGGGCATCAAAATAAACTACCTGGGGGGCAGAGCATTGTCATGCACTGAGTTAAGCCACAGCTTAGGATGTCCATGTCCCATATCCCATATGTTGGAGTCCCAGATCCTCTGCCTCTGATCCAGCTCCCTGCTTATGTCCTTGGGAAGCAGCAAATGATGGATCAGGTACTTGGGTTCCTGCCACCCTCATGGGAGACCCAGGTGCAGTTCATGGCTTTCAAGTAAATAAATCTTAAAAATTATTTAAAAAAATGAAGAAAGGTGGAGTGACAACTTTCTGTTGTAGCCATGTGGAGAGTGAATCAGTAGATGGGAGACCTTTGTGTCACCCTACCTTTATTTTTTTATAATTTTTTTTTAAGATTTATTTACTTGAAAGGCAGAGGGAAAGATAAAGATTTTATGTCTGCTGGTTCACTCCCCAGTGGCCACAACCACCATGGCTTGGCCAGCTAAAAGCAGGAGCCAGGAGCTTCTTGCAGTTCTCCCACATGGGTGGCAGGGGCCCAAGCACCTGGGCCATCTTCCACTGCCTTTCCAGGCATATTAGGAAGGAGCTGGACTGTAAGTGGAGCAGCCAGGACACAAGCCAGTGCCATATGGGATGCCGGTGCCACAGGCTGCAACCTCAACTCTGCCTTTTAAGTAAATAAAAATAAATACATCTATATAAATAAATAAATACTTAGTTCAGTTTTCCATGAACTTTTTGAGGTATATTCATGTATAAGTTACCCAGGCATCGTAGCTGAGACATTTGAATTGGGTTTTGAAGAATGATTAGGAATTGGCTGAGGGAGAAAGGCATTCTAGGTACATGTAATAGCTAGGAAAAGATAGATACACAAACATTTGTAGTAGATGAAATTAACTTGTATGTACTTTTTTTCCCTTTTAAAGGCATTGCAGTACCTGCGTAAATTGTGCAACCATCCAGCATTAGTCTTAACATCTCAGCATCCAGAGTTCAAGAGCACTACTGAAAAGCTGGCAGTTCAGAATTCTTCTCTTCATGATATTCAACATGCACCTAAACTCTCAGCTTTGAAACAAGTACGTATGTTTTTTAAGCATTAAGTGTGTGTACCTAATGTGTAAGAGTAGGTAATTTGGCATATCCCTAAAAGCCAGTGTTTACCATATATTTTATTTTTGATTTGTTAAAAAAATTTTTAAGTATGTATTTATTTGAAAATAGAGAGAGGGAGAGATTGAGAGATTTGTTGGCCAATTCACTCAACAAATAGCTGCAACAGCCAGGACCTTCCTCTGGGTATCCCACATGGGTGCAAGGGCCCAAGCACTTGGGCCATCTTCCTCTGCTTTCCCGGTTGCATTAGTAGGGAGCTGGATCAAAAGTGGAGCAGCTTTGGGGACTGGTGCTGTGGCATAGTGGGTAAAGTTGCTGCCTGCAGTGCCAGCATCCCATATGGGTACAGTTCAGGACATAGCTGCCTTACTTCTAATACAGCTCCCTGCTAATGTGCCTGGGAAAGCAGCAGAGGATGGCTCAAGGACTTGGGCCCTTGCACCCACATGGGAGACCCAGAAGACACTCTTAGAAGCTCCTGGCTTTGGATCAGCCCAACTCTGCCGTTGCATCCATTTGGGGAGTGAACCAGTGTTGGAAGACCTCTCTGTGTCTCTGTAGCTCTGCCTTTGAAATAAATTAATATATATATTTTTTTAAGTGAAGCAGCTAGAACTTGAACTTTTGTTCATTTGGGTTGCTGGCATGACAGGCAAAAGCCTAACCTACTGTACCATAAAGCTGGCCCCAGCTTGTTAAAACTTCTGATAAAGCTTTTTTAAAAATTGTGGTAAGACGAGCCCGACACTGTGTCATAGCAGGTAAAGCTGTCACCTGCAGTGCCAGTATCCCCATATAGTTTGAGTCCCGGCTGCTCCATTTCTGATCCAGCTCCCTGCTAATGTGCCTGGGAAAGCAATGGAAGAAGACCCAAGTCCTTGGGCCCCTGTACTGTTTGGCCTGGTCCAGCTCTGGCAACTGCAGTGGTCATTTGCATTTTATATGCTGCGATTTCAAGAAGTTTGTGGAAACTGGAATTAAAAGATGAGTATAGAGGTGGGCAACCCTTCCTGTTAGGACATCAACCTTCCCTATTCAGAGTGCCTGGTTTCATTGCCTACCTACAGCTCCCTACTCTACCGCATACTAACACAGACCCAGTGATGGTTTGAGTAATTGGGTGCCTGCCATGAATGTGGGAGAGTTGAATTGAGTTTGTGTCTCCTAGCTTTGGTTCAGCCAGCGCTGAGTGCAGGCTTTTAAAGAGTGAACCAGTGAATAGGAGTACACTCATACATTGTCTGTCTCTGGTGATTAAATAAAAATTTTATTTTCATGCTAGAACTTTTGCAGTTGGTGTATAGTTTTTTTCATAAATGCATTTTGTTTTAAGAACTATTTATTTGAAAGGCAGAGTTACAGAGAGAAAAGTCAGAATTCCGTCTGCTGGTTCAATCCCCAAAAGGCTGCAATGGCCAGAGTTGGACTGATTTGAAGCCAGGAGCTTTTTCTGGATCTCCCATGAAGGTGCAGGGACGCCAGGACTTGGGCCATCTTCTACTGCTTTCCTGAGCCATAGCAGAGAGTTGGATCCGAGTGGAGCAGCCGAGATTCTAACTGGCATCCTGGTACCCATATGGGATGCCAGCACTGCAGGCAGCAGCTTTACCTGCTAGGCCACAGCACTGGCCCCATAATATGCATTTTTTCACAAACTTGTTTGACCAAACTTTACTATAGGCTTGTCTACACCGTGTTTATTTTTTTCATGGTTGGCACATTAGATAAACCTAAAAGATACACTTACTCAAGGAACCAGCTAATTAGACCTGTTTTCAAATTAAAAAATACATTTCATTTACATTTGAGTAATAATTGGCATTTTTTTCTTTCTATAGTTTTTACCTAAACTGCTTTATTTATTTATTTTTTAAACAGGAAACAAAAGATACAGAGATCTTCCCAGATGCCCACATCTAGCTGGGCTAGGCTAGGCTAGGCTAGGCTAGGCAGACCAAAGCCAGTAGCCCAGAACTGAACCCAAGTCTCCCATGATGGTGGTAATTACCCAGCTACTTTGAGCCTGTTGTGAGCATTTGGGGACTGAACCAATGACTGGGAGAGCTCTCTCTCTTGTCAATCTCCCTGCCTTTAAAATAAATAAAACAAGGGGAGAAAAGGCTCTAGAAACCATTTTATATGAGGAATCCTTAAATAAAATGTGGGGGTTATTTAGCCACTGCTGAAGTTAGGACAAGATAAAGTCGAAATGCTGTTTAGGAAGGCAACTGGCCTCTCAGATGCCCATAGTAGGTGGCTTGGTAACTGTTTTCTAGAATCTTATCAACTTTTCAAGACCCCAAACTAGAGTCTATCAGGATACCTGGGGATTAGTCTCTCAGGGCAGACTCAGGTTAAAAGAAATTGGGAAACCAGGATTATCAGTTTGCCTGCCAGACAGGAATACTCATTCCCAAACAGACTCTGCATATCCACTAGTGCAGCTGTTGGCAAAGATTATATTAGGTATATCAGTGAGTGCGGACTGAAAGAAAAAGCCTTAGGTGTGTTTTTTAGTCAGATTTTTTAAAAGATTTTTTTATTTATTTTTATTTATTTATTTATTTGAAAGTCAGAGTTATACAGAGGGAGGAGAGGCAGAGAGAGAGGTCTTCCACCTGCTGGATCACTCCCCAGTTGGCCGCAACGGCAGGGACTGAGTCGATCCAGAACCAGGAGCCAGGAGCTTCTTCTGGGTCTCCCATGTGGGTGCAGGAGCCCAAATAGTTGGGCCATCTTCTAATGCTTCCCCAGGCCATAGCAGAGAGCTGGATCAGAAGAGGAACAGGTGGGACTCAAACCATCACCCATATGGGATGTTGGCACTACAGGCAGAGGCTTCACTCGCTACGCTACAGCGCTGGCCCCTATTCAGATATACTTAATACAGCTAGTTACCTTTCAGTTTGTGATATTAGATAACCTCCTGAAATGGTGAACACAGTGCTTTAAGCCTGAGCACCTAAATGAAAACTAGTTCCGGCCAGTGCCATGACTCACTTGGCTAATCCTCCGCCTGCAGCGCCGGCATCCTGGGTTCTAGTCCCTGTCAGGGCGCTGGATTCTGTCCCAGTTGCTCCTCTTCCAGTCTAGCTCTGTGCTGTGGCCCGGGAAGGCAGTGGAGGATGGCCCAAGTTCTTGTGCCCTGCACTGGCATGGGAGACCAGGAGGAAGCACCTGGCTCCTGACCTTGGATCAGTGCACTGCGCCAGCTGCAGCGGCCATTTGGGGGGTGAACCAATGGAAGGAAGACCTTTCTCTCTGTCTCTTTCTCTCACTATCTAACTCTGCCTGTCAAAGAAAAGAACAGAAAAAAAAAAAAAAAGAAAAGAAAAGAAAAAAGAACAAGCAAGCAAGCAAGCTAGTTCCACAAACTGCAGATCACAGTCCCCAGTGCTAATCTGCTCTCCAGGTTTCAGCTATGACCTTTTCTTGCCACAGAAAGAACTACTTGTTAACAGGAAGAGTAGTTATCTGCTTTTATTAAACACCTGTGTAATGTTTGTTGTTTCCTCCCAAGTTGCTGCTGGACTGTGGTTTGGGAAATGGTGGCACTTCCGAGAGTGGCACAGAGTCCGTTGTGGCCCAGCACAGGATACTGATCTTCTGTCAGCTGAAAAGCATGCTTGACATTGTGGAACATGATCTTCTCAAGCCACACTTGCCCTCTGTAACGTACTTGAGATTAGATGGCAGCATACCCCCTGGTCAGAGGCATTCCATTGTTTCCCGGTAAGTGGCTTCTAAAACTATCATCATAAATCAGTCTGTAATCAATACATTATTACTTACATGGCAGCTTGCCTCATGACTTATTTTCATTGGCTAACTCTCTGCAAATGTGTTTCTTATGCAACTCAACCCAAATAAATCCCCCTTTAAATATAGAACTTTAGAAATACAATTGAATGGTTTATTTGCACAGTAAGTGAAAAAACATGACTACATTAGGAAAAGCACTATGAAACGCTTTTGTTGCGGGGGAGGAGGGGTTACGGTGATAGGAAGCAAATGGCTTAAATCAAATCTCCTTCCTGATCCCGCCTCTGCTGAAAAGAAGTTGGAAGCTGGCCCATCTAGGAAGCAGGATCAATGAGTGCAGCTTCTTGAATATGGTCTTGCAAGTTCTGTTTTAAAAATCTCAGGGGTTGCCTTTTTTAAATGCAGATTTTTCGGTTCTGTCTCAAACCTGCTCACTTCAAGAGTGGGTATTTTTAATCAGCATCCCTAAGAGATTGTTAGGCATGATTCTACTAAAGAAGATGTTTTCAACTCACTCACTTCAACTCAGAGATGTCTGTCATGGATTTTTAAAGTCATGTTTTCTTTTGTACTCTTATTTTTATTAAATAGCTTATTTTATATAAGTCTTAGAAATTAACTGTCTGATTTTTTGATATCTATGTTTTTAGGTTCAACAATGATCCATCCATAGATGTTCTGTTACTTACAACTCATGTTGGTGGCCTGGGGCTTAACTTGACTGGCGCTGACACGGTGGTATTTGTGGAGCACGACTGGAATCCTATGCGAGATCTACAAGCCATGGACCGAGCACATCGCATTGGGCAGGTAAAGTCACCTGTTTTCAGGTGTTAACTTGTGCACTGCCCAAAAAAGGAAGCCTAGGTTCAAACTCTTAGCCTGACCTTAATAATTGTTATGACCTTGGACAAATCTTTGAACTACTACTTCATGCATTAAATGAGATGGTTAGGCTAGGAAAACTTGGGTCATTGTCCATTCCTAATAATTCTGTGGCTTTTGGAAACATTTTGAGCTCCTGGAACCAGACAAGATGGAAATCAAGTCTTGATTAGGTAGTAGAAAATAGACTAAGCCCCTTGATTTGGTGAACCTCAAAGCTTATCAGTTTGTGCTATAGTTGCTTAACTGTTTTTCTCATTCAGAAACGTGTGGTTAACGTGTATCGACTGATAACCAGAGGAACGCTGGAAGAGAAAATAATGGGTTTGCAGAAATTCAAGATGAACATAGCAAATACTGTTATTAGCCAAGAGAATTCTAGTTTGCAGAGTATGGGGACTGATCAACTTCTTGATTTGTTTACTCTTGATAAGGTAAGGAGTTAAAACAATTTGTTTTCTGTTTAATAAGCTCACAGGCTTCCTGTGACTGCTAAGTGAAAGTATTAAAGGCAGCAACAAACGATACTCATTTTTATATTCATTAGATAACCCTTTGTAGGAATTTTTGGTGCCCAGATGAAAGTCTTCAGCATACCAGGGGATGTTTTGGCGGTTATCTCTAGTGTCTTGCCTCAGGCTGCTTTTCCTTTTCTGCTGAAGACAGCTTCTCACTGCAGACTCTTGATAGGGGTTTCTAACGCTGCCTCCTGTTAATCTACCTTTTGATTTAGTTAATGTGTGTGTATGCAAACGTGTGTGTATATTTTTGAAGTAAACAATGTGAAATCCACATATAGTTTTATAATAATACACATTTTCAGTCATCTTTCTTCAAGACTGGAGAGAGAATGAGCACTAGCACTATGAGAAAACCCTTTTGAGCTCACAAATTTTGTAGTAACTTGAATTGTTTAACTGTTGAATAAATACAGTGTTAGAAATAGGTGTGGTATTTTAAATAAACAATTTCTGAAGTTAGTGATCTCTCATTTTATCTTTTTACAATTGTTTTTTAAGGATGGCAAAACAGAAAAAGCTGACACCTCTACTTCTGGAAGAGCAAGTATGAAGTCAATTCTTGAAAATCTGAGTGATCTTTGGGATCAAGAGCAATATGATTCAGAATACAGCCTGGAAAATTTCATGCATTCTCTCAAGTAACTATCAAATACTGTAAATGCAATTGCTGCTAGTTCAGTTATATTTCTGCTGATATTCAGCAAATTTCTAAGTTTATGGTGAACTTTTAATCAATATGTAAATAGATCTGAAGAATATTCAGCATACCATTGGCTCTTGTTTCACTGGGGGGAACAAGTTAGTCTCAAATATTTGCACTGTATTAAATTTAAATATTAATGTGAAGTGGATTAAATTTTACATGCTGAATAGCTGCAGAGCAGAGGAACCAAGCCAGGTTCACATGTGCTACCAGGAGGTGTCCCACCAGGAACAAACCTCCCCTCCTTACAGAGTCACTTTGTACAGTATGATATCTGTGAGTACTTTAGTGTTCATGTACATTTTTCTTTTAAATAAAACTTGTTTTTATAATTGATAAAAGTCAGGGCTTTTATAAGAAAGCCTTAATGAGCCATAATTTTAAAAATACAAGAATAATGACTACAATATTGGTCAGTCTTAGGCAATGAATTGAACCAGGCCTTTGGTGGAAATCTTTATATATTTAATGCAGATGCATAGTGTTTTTGAAACTTTAACATCATTTTGTCAACTTTTAAAATATAGTATCAACTATTCTAAATACTGGTACTGGTATATTTAAGGCTACCATAACATCCTATTAAGAGGGTGTTTTTTTTTTAATTTATCTAATGGCTAGGTTATAGCCAGATTCAAAGAACATATGTACTCCATAGGTTTCAATCATATATATAATATATATATTTTGTAACTATGAACATACAGTTTTCCAGAAGTAGATTTTACACTGTTTAGAATTCCAAAACCTATGGTGAAGAGACTGTTTATTGTAGTAATGCATGACTGAAGCATAAAAGGGAGAAACAGTTCCTTTATATACACAAACATACATGAATATACATATCTGTATACACAAATCTACCCTAGCCTGTACCCAAAAGGTGCCCAGTATTGGCACTAAAATCATGTAGTTATACTGGGTAGCAATAATAGGGCATGAAACGGATTAGTGTTAGAAAGGTGAGTTCAATGGTAAGGGTTGGTATATGGATATAGATATGCATGTATGTATGTATATATAATTTTCTAAGTTTCACACGTAAATTAATACTTGCCTGTGTGCATACATATGTATGGAATATATTTGTGTATATATGTACAGGTAATAAACATACCTAAAGTTTGTGGCTGGCCATACACATAGGCTTTGGTTTAAAAACCATCAGACCTCAGCTGTACAATAACAGGTGTTTTGTTTAAATCATTAAAGTTAAACTGTTCTGCAGCACTTAGACATATGGACATTTGTCACATTTCAGTAGCTTTGACAACCATACTGTAACATTAAACCTAGCATTCCACAGGAGAATAAATATAAGGTTGAAGCTGTAAAATATATGCAACTGTGTGTTATTTGTAGAAAATGATCATTAAAACTCAAGCAAAAGATTAAAATTATTCAGATACAGAGGTTTTAAAATAGCTGCATTCTTCATTTGATTTTTGTACAGATTGTCAGAGACCAAAAGGAAACTCATGACTTCAAGTAGAACTTTCAGGATACTTGATTATTTATTTGCTAATTCCATAAACTAGTTATTTCACATAGCGTATAGCAATTAATATTTCCTGGAAATATGTAGAAGTGAATATATCATTATAGAGATAGGAAGGAGCAAAAGAATTGACATCAGAATAGTTGGTTTCCCTAATTTGAAAGGTTGGATAGAACTAAAGTCAGATAGTTAAGCAGTTAAATTTGAAAAGGATTTAATCCGAAAGTGTCTGTATTAGAAAGGCAAGAGTAGACAAAGTTATACTAGTTACCTGTGAGTGCAAAAAAATTTTTTAAAGTAACTTTTTGAGTTGGTGAAACACTAAATCACATTCCAGCTTTTCAAATATAGGAAAACATACAAATAGGTAAGAACTAACTCTCCCTTAATTTAGTGGTCCTGGTCATAGTAGTAATTCTTAAGAACAATGGAGATACTTGGAAAATAAAGAACTGCTGTCAATTTTATGGATTTGATGATATGATAGCTATTTTTTTAAGTATGGGATGTGGGAAATAAAGCAACCATGATAGAATGTTGATACTATTTTAAGTTGGGTAATTCTCTATTTTTTGTATGTTTATAATAGAAAATTTGAAACAGCCAAAATAATTATGAATTTAGAGATTACCAGTCTTATCAGTAGTGTTTGTTTCCTGTAGGAAAAATCTGTTTTCTGGGTTCTGGGTGTAGTTTGTTTCACACTCACTATAAATGTACTTATGTATTCCACACACATTCCTCCCAAAAAATTCTAGTTTTTTCAACAAGAGCGTGTCATAATGGTGACAAGAGTGAACATTACTGGTATTGGGACTAATGAAACTAGTACAGCTTTATTCCTTTGGGTGGTCTATATGAACTTTTAAAACTAAATAGTGGGTTGGGGCCAGCACAGTGGCATAGCAGGTAAAGCAGCTGCTCCACTTCTGATTCAGCTCCTTACTATCCTTGGGAAAGCAGTAGAAGATGGCCCAAGTCCTTGGGCCCCTGCACCCACGTGGGAGACCTGGAAGACGCTCCTGGCTGCGTATCAGCCCAGCTCTGGCCGTTACGGCCAATTAGGGACTGAACCAGCGGCAGGAAGACCTCTCTCTACCTCTCCTTCTCTTACTCTTTCAAATAATCTTAAAAAAACTAGATAGTGGGGCCAACATTTTGGTTTAATGGATAAAGCCACCACCTGTGAAACTGGCTTTTTTTTATTGGAAAGATAGAATTAGAGACAGTGAAAGGGACTGACAGAGAGGTCTTTCTTCCGCTGGTTCACTCCCGAAATGGCCGCAACGGCCGGAGCTGTGCCAATCCAGAGCCAGGAGCCAGGAGTTCTTCCGGATCTCCCATGTGGGTGCAGGGTCCTAAGGACTTGGGCCATCTTCTACTGCTTTCTCAGGCCACAGCAGAGAGCTAGATTGGAAGAGGAGCAGCCAGGACTAGAACTGGCACCCATATGGGTGGCCAGCGCTGCAGGCAGAGGATTAACTACTGCAGCATGGTGCCGGTCCCGAAACTGGCATCCTTTATGGGTGCCGGTTCAAGGCTTGCCTGCTCCACTTTAAAAAAAAAATTTTATTTGAAAGAATGAGAGAGGGAGGTCTTCCATCTGCTGGTTCATAACCCCAGATGGCCGCAATGGCTGGAGTTGAGCTGATCTGAAGCCAGGAGCCAGAAAGTTCTTATATGGGTAAAAGGGCTCAAGGACTTGGGCCATCCTCCTCTGCTTTCCTAGGCACATTAGTAGGGAGCTGGTTCAGAAGTGGAGCAGCAGGGATTTGAACTGGCACCCATAAGGGATTCCAGCACTGCAGGCCAGGACTTTAACCCACTGCACCTCAGCACTGGCCCCATCTTGCTCCACTTCTGGTCCAGCTCCCTGCTAAAAGTCCTGGGAAAAGCAGTGGAAGATGGCCCAAGGGTTTGGACCTCTGCACCCATGTGGGAGATCCAGATTAAACTCCTGGCTTCTTTGTCTGTAACTCTACCTAATTAAAAAAAAAAGAGAGAGAGAGAGAAAGGTCTTCCTTCCGTTGGTTTACTCCCCAGATGGCTGCTATGATCCGAAGCCAGGAGCCAGGTGCTTCCCTCCTGGCCTCCCATGCGGGTGCAGGACCCCAAGGACTTGAGCCATCCTCCACTGCCCTTCCGGGCCACAGCAGAGAGATAGACTGGAAGAGGAGCAACTGGGACTAGAACCAACACCCATATGTGCTGCCAGCGCCGCAGGCGGGGGATTAGCCAAGTGAGCCACAACACCAGCCCCACTCCTGGCTTCTTTGGATTAGCCCTGGCCATTACAGCCATCTGGAGAGTGAACCAGCAGATGGAAGATCTTTTTGGTTTTCTGGAGCTCTTTTAAATAGATATTAAAAAAAATAAAAACCACACTTCTAAACTAAATAGTGCAGTGAAACTATTTGAGAATGTTACCAGTTAGAGACAAAGAATTTGAAAGTAATAAGAATTTCATCACACTTGTAATCTAAATATTTAATCTTTGTATAATCTACCTCCTGTGATTATCCTGTTTCCTATCATAAATTGATTGCAGGAATATTTATTAAATGCTGGAGAACTCACTGTGAATAAATAAAGCAAAAATTAGAAAAGTTTGCTATTCACACAAAGCACTGTCTACTGCCATCTCCAAGGATGTAAAAATTGCCTCCTGTTTCAAGAAATAGTTACTTGAGTCTTTGATAAATTCACTCAAACTAGTGAGGTTCTGCATAAGATAGAAGCTGAGATCCTAATTCCCAATGAAGAGCAAGAGAGTTTCAGCCATAAAGCCACAAAAAGACCATGTATCAAGTATCAAGGGACCAGGAGTGTGGTGCAGTGGGTTTAGCTGAGCCTACCATGCTGCCTCCCAGTTGAAGTCCTGACTGCTCCACCTCTGATGCGGCTCCCTACTAAGGCACCTGGGAAGGCAACGGAAGAGAGTCCTCGTCCCTGGGCCCCTGCACCATGTGAGAGACCTGGTTGAAGCTCCAGGCTACTGGATTCAGCATGGCTCAGCCCTAGCCATGTGGCCATTTGGGGAATGAAGCAGCAGATGGAAGATCTCTCTCTTTCCTCTCTGTAACTCTGCCTCTCAAATAATAAATATTTATTTAAAAAAAATGTATTCAAATTTTACTAGGACAACCATCTATGAGCCTGGAAATGCAAATTCATCCAGGAGAAAGCAAAATTCCAGGCCTATACCACAGGTAAGTTTCAAGTCTGATTTTATGCTAAATGTTTACTATAGGAACCCCGAGTCAAGAAAATAAAATCAATTCCATCACCCGAGCAGAAGCAAATATAAAACTGTTTAGTAGGGACAGCGTCTGATAGCATCTCATAGGATTGCCATGGGGGCAAGATTAAGCCTTACACACATACAGTGTACAGGAGGAAGAGAGCAAATGCAGACGGGGTAATCGGAGAGACCAGGAAATAATATTAAAATATTTAGATATAAAAATATTAGAGAAGGTTGAAAAAGAGCCAGTAAATGGGAAATAATTACACAGTTTACAGAGAAAATCATTAATTGGGGTGATGTCCTTACAGAACCACCTATCATGGTAATCAAAAGATGAACCTGGAGCTGGGGCTGGTACTTTGGTGCAGGTTAAAGCCCCAGCCCTCAGCACCAGCATCCCATATGGGTGCCAGTTCCAGTCCCAGTTGTTCCACTTCTGATCCAGCTCCTTGCTAATGTGCCTAGGAAAGCAGTGGAGGATGGCTCAAGTCCTTGGGCCCCTGCAGCCACCTGGGAGACCTGGATGAAGCTTCTGGCTCCTGGCTTTGGATCAGCTCAGCTCTAATTGTGGCCATTTGGGGAGTGAACCATAGGTTGAAAGACCTAAGTCTCTCTTTAAAATAAATATTAAAAAAGATGAACTGATAGAAAATATGAAATGGCAAGCAGAAATGATAGAAAACAGAATGAAAGAAAAAAAATAGGATGTCTAGAAGGAAATAGAAGTAAGGGGAAAAGATACAGGAAGTCACCTTTGGGGGCGAGCCTTGTGGGTAAAGCTGCCACCTGTGATGCTGGCCTCCCACATGGGCACCAGTTCAAGTCAAGTCATGGCTGCTCCACTTCTGATCCAGCTCCCTGCTGATGTGCCTGGGAAAGCAGCAGAACATGGTCCCAGCGCTTGGACCCCTGCACCCACGTGGGAGACCCAGATGAAGCTCCTGACTTCAGCCTGGCCCAGCCCCAGTCATATGGGCCATTTGGGTAGTGAACCAGTGGATGGAAGATTCTTTCTGCCTTTCAACTTCAAGTAAATCTTTAAGAAAAAAAAAATGCTTTAAAAAAAGTCACCTTAGACTTTTTTGCAGGGTCAAAGCTGCAAAAAAACCCAGCTCCCATCTGCTGACTCTACTTGCCTACAGTGTCTAGGACTGGTCCAGGCCAAAGTAGGGGGCCCAGCACCTGTCGGCCATATGGGTGGAGCATTTGAGTCCTCTCTCCTGCCTCCAAAGGTCTTGTACTAGTAAGAAGCTGGAGTCAGGCATCAGACACTGGCATTGTCGTCATAATGGCTAGGCTAAGTGCCTGCCCCAGGTCTGTCCTTTTTTTTTTTTTTTTTTTTGCATCACCCCTATTGTAATCAGGAAGTTCCCATCTCCAGCTTCAAAATCTATTCCAAATCAATTCACTTTTCTCCATGTCCACCATTAAAACTATAGTTGCCACTACCATTTTATTGCTACACTGCCTTTTTTTTTTTTTTTTTTTTTTTTTTTTGGACAGGCAGAGTGGACAGAGAGAGACAGAAAGGTCTTCCTTTGCCGTTGGTTCACCCTCCAATGGCCGCCGCGGCCGGCGCGCTGCGGCCGGCGCACCGCGCTGATCTGATGGCAGGAGCCAGGAGCCAGGTGCTTTTCCTGGTCTCCCATGGGGTGCAGGGCCCAAGCACTTGGGCCATCCTCCACTGCACTCCCTGGCCACAGCAGAGGGCTGGCCTGGAGGGGGGGCAACCGGGACAGAATCCGGCGCCCCGACCGGGCCTAGAACCCGGTGTGCCGGCGCCGCTAGGCGGAGGATTAGCCTAGTGAGCCGCGGCGCCGGCCACTACACTGCTCTTCTAACTGGTCTTCCAAACCCTCTAATGGCTTCCTACACATTCAGACCACATCTAAACTCCCTACTCTGAGAAACCCTACTAGAGGTGGCTTCGGCCCATCTCTGATTCTCTCATCATATCCCACTATGCTCATCCCAACAGGTCAGGTCAGTGTTGCCTTTTTTCTGTATCTCAACAGAAAACCAGAAGTATTTCTACCTTGGTTTTGGTTTTTGTACAGCTGGGTGAATGGTGTCATAGAGATAAGGAAGACTGAAAAGAGCAAATTTCAGTTTGATGGGGTGGGGTAGATAGAACTTTTTTTTCCACGTTCCGTGTGAGATACTCAGTATGGAACCGAATGAAATCTCAACAGTAAATTCAAAAGTGTAAGAGATCTTCAAATAGTTTATGGGAAATGTGTATTATGAAAAAACTATATAGATTTCAAAGGTGTTTTTTTTTTTTTAACCCAAACTTTTAATTCCATTTCACCATGAACTTTTTGAAGTCCCTTTGTGTAACTTGAGCAAAACAATACACTGTTTACGGCTGTGGAAGCACAATCCTACACAGGGTTATTTTTAAGAAAATTAGGTGACACCACCACATACGAGGTTTGCTCAGCATTTCCTGCCAGGGCCAGCATGGAGGAGGATACCAAGGCCAGCAGTTGGCATGGATGTGTTACAATAAGCAGCTTTCGGCAGAAAGTTATGAGTTGTAATACAGAGGAGGCGGTCATCATGACAGAAGATTCCACTCCCCAGAAGAGCACAGCAACTCTAAATGGATACACCATGCAAAATACATAAAGCAAACAAGGAAGAAGCTGCAAGGAGAAACAGACAACTCCAAACCCGTAGTGGGATTTTAACATACCTCTCTCAGTCAACAAGAGGACCAGAAGAAAAAAATTTACTAGTATATAGATGACTTTAATACTGTAGCAAATATGGCTTTATAGACATATAACTCTAGAATACATTTTTCGAAGTTCATGGGTAATATTTACCAAAGTTTACATGCTAAGCCATAATGCCTTGCCTGACAAATTTCAAGAAACTGAAATAATACATAATATCCACTTTTTTCACTCCTATACAACAATCTGCTGGAACTTCTAGCTTGTACAATAAAGCAATAAAAACCAAAGAGGGCCCGGCGCTGTGGCCCAGTAGGTTAATCCTCTGCCATGCTGGCATCCCATATGGGCACCACTTCTAGTTCCAGCTGCTCCACTTCAGTCCAGCTCGCTGCTATGGCCTGGGAAAGCAGTAGAAAAAGGCCCAAGTCCTTGGGTCCCTGCACCCACGTGGGAGACTGGGAGAAAGCACCTGTCTCCTGGCTTCAGATCGGCGCAGCTCTGGCTGTTGCAGCCATTTGGGGAGTGAACCAACAGAAGAAAACCTCTCTCTCTCTCTACCTCTCACTGTAACTTTAACTTTCAAATAAAATAAAATATTTAAAAAAGAAAAAAAAAAGCAGCATTGTGGCGAAGCAGTTACACGCAGCTTGGCCTGCCTACGTCCCTGAGCAGAGTGCTGGGTTCAGATTCCAGCTTCCTGTCCATGTGGGCCTGGGGACAGCAGGTGATGGCACAGTCTGCTACTTCCATGAGAGACCAAGCATAGGATTCCTGGCTCCCATTTGGCCTGACCCAGCCCTAACTATTGTAGGCATTTGGGGACTGAGCCAGTGGATGGGAGATTTTCTCTGCCTTTCAAACAAACTACTAAAAAGTTAAAAAACAATAAAGATTAGAAAACTGTGTTTAAAAACATGACTATGTAGAAAATTCCAAAGAATATACAAAAAGGCTACTAGTAATTAAGTGATTTAGCAAGTGCACAGTGCACAGGGTTAATTTAGAAACATCATCAGGTGGGCATTCGGCTTAGCAGTTAAGACAGTGTTTAAGATGCCTGTGGGGGGTGGCAGGGCGGTGCCGTGGTGCAGCAGGTTAATCCTCCACCTGCAGCACCGGCATCCCATATGGATGCTGGTTCCAGTCCCGGCCACTCCTCTTCCAATCCAGCTCTCTGCTGTGGCCTGGGAAGGCAATAGAAGATGGCTCAAGTCCTTGGGCCCCTGCACACACGTGGGAGACCCAGAAGAAGCTCCTGACTCCTGACTTCAGATCGGTGCAGCTGCAGCTGTGGCAGGCCTTTGGGGAGTGAACCAGTGGATAGAAGACCCTCTGTTTTACCCTGTCACTGTAACTCTACCTCTCAAAAATGTTTTTTTAAAAAGATGCTTGTGGAACCACGGAGCCCAGTGTCAAACCCTGTCACTCCACATGACATGTGGGCATCCCAAAAGCCTGTGCCTCCATTTGGTTGGGTTTGTTTTGATTTTTTTTGAAAGGGTTCTTGATTTGTTTGAAAGAGTGTTGGAGGGAGAGAGAGACAGAGACCTTCCATCTACAACTTCACTCCCCAAATGCCCACTATGCCAGGGCTGGACCAGCCGGGAAGTCCATCTGGCTCTCCTACATACCTGAGTCATCTGCTGCCACCCAAGTGTATGAGCAGGAAACTGGATCAGAAGTGGGGTAGCCAGGCCTTGACCCAGGCACTCGGACAGGGGATGTGGGTGTCCTGAGTCAACAGCTGTTCCAAATGCCTTTCCCCAGTTTTGGCTCTTTAGAAAGTAAGTAAACTCTGGGGCCAGCTTGTGGCGCAGTGCCTGCAATGCCAATATGCGGGTGCTGATTTGAGTCCTGGCTGCTCTACTTCCTATCCAGCTCCCTGGTGATGCATCTAGGAAAACAGTAGAATGGCCCAAGTGCATGGGCCACCCACATGGGAGACCTGGATGGAGTTCAGGGCTCCTGGCTCTGGCCTGGTCCAGCCCTGGCCATTGTGGCCATTTGGGGAGTGAACCAACAGCTAGAAGATTGATCTCACTAACTCACTTCTCAAATCTGTTTTAAAAAATAAGAAAATTACTGGTAAGTATCTCCCATGAATATATATTGCAAAAACTCTGGCCGGCGCCACGGCTTACTTGGCTAATCCCCCGCCTGCGGCACCGGCACCCCAGGTTCTAGTCCTGGCTGGGGCTCCAGATTCTGTCCCGGTTGCTCCCCTTCCAGTCCAGCTCTCTGCTGTGGTCCAGGAAGGCAGTGGAGGATGGCCCACGTGCTTGGGCCCTGCACCCTCATGGGAGACCAGGAGGAAGCACCTGGCTCCTGGCTTCGGATCAGCGCAGCGCACTGGCCGCAGCATGCCAGCAGTGGCGGCCATTTGGGGGGTGAACCAGCGGAAAAGGAAGACCTTTCTCTTTTTCTCTCTCTCCCTCCCTCCCTATCTAACTCTGCCTGTCACACACACACACACACACACACACACACACAAACCTCTCAACAGCAAATTGTCCAAATATTTCTATCAAGAATTAATCCAGGGCCAGCACTGTGGCATAGCGGGTAAAGCCACTGCCTGCAGTGCCGGCATCCCATATGGACAACAGTTCAAGTCCCAGCTGCTCCACTTCTGATTCAGCTCCTTACTATCCTTGGGAAAGCAGTAGAAGATGGCCCAAGTCCTTGGGCCCCTGCACCCACATGGGAGACCGGGAAGAAGCTCCTGTCTTCGCATTAGCCCAGTTCCGGCCGTTGCAGCCATTCCCCAGTGAACCAGTGGGCGGAAGAGTGAGTGAGTCTGTCTGCCCCTCCCCGCCCCCCTCAATAAATTAAAAAAAAAAAAAATTACACATCATGCACAGGTGGGATTTATCCCAGGAAGTTAGGTGGGCTCAGCACTGAAAATCAGTTAATGTAAAGAGCAAAGAAAAATTAGTGGAGAAAAAGAAGTCTTTTCACCAAATGATGCTGGAAAATGGACATTACCACAGACACACACCAAAAGAAAAAGAATAATCTGGACATGCTACACCTTTCACAAAAACGAACTTCAAAATGGTTCACAGACCTAAGTGCAGAAACCAAAACCGGAACACTTCTGAAAAAGAACTTCTAGATGACTTCGAGTTTGGCGATGATTTTTTTCCTTAAACACCAAAGGCGCTATCCGTCCATGAAGAAGCGGGTGAGGTGAATATCATTCAAATTAAAAACTCCTGCAAAAGATGCTACAGGCCACAAACTGGGAGAAAGCACCTGTGACACAAAGAACTTGTGTCCAAATCTTTCCGGAAACTGAAAAGCCAACAATAAGGAAACCCTAGATCCAACTGAAAACCAGACAAAAGATCTACAGAGCCACTTCGCCCAAGATGTGCAGACGGTGATGAGAGAAGATACGGGTCAAAATGATGCCATCCACGGAACACCTCTTAGAATGAAACCCACACACCGGCAACACCAAATGCAGAAAGGGCACAGAGTGGAAGGACTCATTGCCACTTTGTACCAAGACAGGTTGGCAGGTATTTTTTTTAAGATTTTATTTATTTATTTGAGAGGTAGAGTTACAGTGAGAGTGAGAGAGAGAGAGAGAGAGAGAAAGGTCTTCGATCCGCTGGTTCACTCCCCGAATGGCCGCAACTGCCGGAGCTGCGCCAATCCGGAGCCAGGAGCCAGGAGCCTCTTCCTGGTCTCCCAGGTGGGTGCAGGGACCCAAAGACTTGGGCCATCTTCTACTGCTTTCCCAGGACATAGCAAAGAGCTGGACTGGAAGAGGAGCAGCCGGGACTAGAACCGCCGCCCGTACGGGATGCCGGCACTGCAGGTGGAGGATTAACCCACTGTGCCCCTGCACCGGCCCCTAGTTTGGCAGTTTCTTAGAAAGTCTACTTCCCCACAGAAAGTCTCACATTCCAGCAACCAGGCTCCTGTTTCCCCGAATGAACTCCAGATGCCCGCCCTAGGGCGTGATGTGGCACAGCAGGTCAAGCCGCTGCTTGTGCTGCCAGCGGCCCATATCCGAGTGCTGGTCTGACTCCCAGCTGCTCCACTTCCGATCCAGCTCCCTGCTACTGTGTCTGGGAAAGCAGCGGAAGATGGCCCAAGTGTTTGGGTCCCTGCCACCCATGTGCGAGACCTGGCTGGAGTCCCGGAACTGCTGTTTTCAGCCTGGCTCAGCCCCGGCTGTTGCAGGCATTTGGGGGTTGGGGGTGGGGGTGGGGGAGGTGAATCAGCAGTTGGAAGATCTTTCTCTGCCTCTGTCACTCTTTCAAATAAATATTTTTAGAAACCTTTTAAAAATTTATAAAAACATACAGTGCAAAGAGTAAACCCTAACCTGAACCATGGACTTTCGTTCATGACAATGTAGCAATGACAGAAGTGCTCAGTTCTAACGGACCTGCCACAGCTAATGCAAGCAGGGAAACTGGGGGAGAAGTGCTGAGGAGCTACGCAGTAACTACTGACCAAACAAACAGCGTGCTGCACTCTCTGAGCTCTCTAAAATAGCTCTACAAAATCAAGTGATGTTTCCAAAAAGCCCCCATGAAGATAAAAACAAACCCAAATAGAGACACTTGGGGCAGGCCTTGGGTCGCAGGGAGGGAAGCGTTGGCATCCCGTATCAGAGCAGCAGCGAGTCTTGCGAGCTGCCCGGCTGCCAACCCACACACCTAGGCAGGCAGCCGAAGACAGCCGAGTACTCAGGTCCCTGCCACCCCCGTGGGAGACCTGCGTGGAGTTCCTGACTCCTGGCTTTAGCCTGGCTCACCTCCAGCCATGGGGCCGTTTCAGCAGGGAATCAGCAGATGGAAGATCTCGCTTTCTCTCTCCATCTGTCTTTCAAATAAATAATCTTGAAAAATATATTTCACTGACAAGGATATACAAATGGCAAACACGTACATGAAAAAAAAAATGTTCATTATTATCCATTAGGGAGGGGGGAATGTTAGGAAACTGGCGCAGTTGGCCGCATGGCCCAGCTACCTGAGCCAGGCTCCACCCCCATCCTAATGGGATTGGCTGCTCCTGCTTCCCTGCCCGCCCTCAGGCGAAGTTTTAAAAGGGCCTGTTCCTGAACACGTGCTCTCTTGCCCCTTCTCTCCTGCTCTCTCTCTCAGTTCCTCTCTCCAGCCTCCTCCTCTGGTCTCTTGGCTCTGCTCTCCTCTCTCCTCTTCTCTGCTTTATCTTCTCTCCTTGCTAGCTCTTCTCCTCTCTGTCTCTCTCTCTTAACAGTCTCCCTCCCTTTTTTCCTTCACTGCCCCTTCACTCCGGTCTGCAGGGTGTTCCCCAATAAACCCTTCCCCTTAAAAAAAAAAAAAAAAGAAAGGGTAAAATCACAAAGAGGGACAACAACCAGAACTGGGTGGTTTCACCTGCTCTGGAAGTTTGTAGTTTTTTTTTTTTTTTTTAAACTAAGCAGACATGGCCAGGGTGGGCATCTGGCAGAGCAGGTCAGACACTGCTCAGGACACCTACATTCCATATCAGAGGGTCTGGGTTCAAGTTCAGCTTCTGCTTCTGATCCAGCCTCCTGATAATTAGGATAAGTAGGGATGATTCAGGTACTTAGGCCTGTGCTACACAGGTGGGAAACCCAGATTGAATTCCAGGCTGTTGTGCGCATTTGGGGGAGTGAACCAGCAGATGGACGCTCGCTCGCTCTCTCTGCCTATCAAATACAATGAAAATAAATTTTAAAATCTATAAAGATGAAATTACCAGGACCAGGCTTGTGGAGCGGTGGGTTAAGCCACACTTGTGCACCGGCTTTCCATGTCGCAGTGCTGGTTTGAGGCCAGGCTGCTCCACTTCCGGTCCAGCCCCGTACTAATGCACCTGGGAAGGCAGCAGAGCATGGCCCAAGTGCATGGGCCCCTGCAGCCATGTGGGAGATCCAGAGGGAGCTCTGGGCTCCTTGCTTTGGCCTTGCCCAGCTCTGGCCCTTGCAACCATTTGGGGAAGTGAACCAGCAGGTGGACGGTCTCTCACTCTCTGTCCCTCCCTGTCACTCTTTCAAATAAATCTTTAAAAAAAAAATTAAAAAGGCAAAGAAAAAAATAACCTTACCACTGTGTAACTGCAGTCTTCACAAATTTTCCCAGAAAAAAATGAAGACACGTTCACACAACAACCTGCATATGACTGTTTGTAGCAGCCTTATTTTTTTTTCTGGAGATAATTTTATTTTTGGTTTAATCTCTCAGTAATTATTTTTATAGCATGTTTTCATTAATGTTAATACAGAAGAGAAACTTTTTGAAATGGGTTAAAGTTTTAAAAGATCATTATTTTATATGCCTCACATGTCCTTTGATTTGTTTCTAATACTCATTTAAGAATCACTGATGTTCTGTCAACACAGTGAGTATCGTTCATTTCAAATACTAAAGGCATAAGTCTATTCTAGTTGTCTTCAGTAAAACAACCATAAATGGGCAAATAATTAAACTTCTTAGGTGATATATCTTTTTGTCTTAGTGCAATTGGTAGTAGGATAGATAAAAGATTTTAGTTTTCATAACTGAAGTGCAACTTCTTCAATATTCTAATTTGAAATACAACCAAAAGAACCAAGTTAAAATCTGTAATTGAAGAGGAGTTTTTATTTAATGTCCTTAGACTCCATTAGTGGCTCAAAGAAAAGATTTAGCACAAGAGCCAAACCAGGGAAGAATAAGGGTAGAGGCGGAGGGAAACAATGCCATCATCTTCAAAAGGTCAGTTTATTTACAGGGAGAACTTCATGAAAATCCGCCTCTATTATATGTGTGTACCCAATCCTACAAAATAAGTTCAAGAAGCTTGAGCTGTATCTAGAAAAATGGAGAAAAACTTGGTAAGGAGAAGAGGGGGGAATCATTTCAGGTGAGTATGAAGATAAGAGAGGAGAATGAGGAAGACAATACACTCAGGTTGCTCAGGGTACAGTGAGTGTGGTAGTTTATCTGGAACAGAAGTGCTACATGAATGATGCCGTAAACACCCACGTACATGTTTTCTGGTAGATGGGAATTATTTCCTCTTGGGTATGCAGGTGTGAAGTTGCTGGATCATATAGTATATGAAAGCTCCATCGCCAAGATAATGACAGACTGTTTTGCAAAATGTTTATACCCACTAGCAGTACTTAAGGAATCTTGTGCAGATCCACATCCTCTCAAGTGTATTGTTAGAACTGTAATCTTCTATCAAATGGGTGTACAATGGCATTTCACTATGTTCTTATTTCCATTTTCTTTTCTTTCTTTTTTTTTTTTTTTTTTTGACAGGCAAAGTGGACAGTGAGAAGAGAGAGAGAGAGAGACAGAGAGAAAGGTCTTCCTTTTGCCATTGGTTCACCCTCTAATGGCCGCCGCAGCTGGTGCGCTGCAGCCGGCGCACCGCACTGATCCAATGGCAGGAGCCAGGTACTTCTCCTGGTCTCCCATGGGGTGCAGGGCCCAAGCACTTGGGCCATCCTCCACTGCACTCCCTGGCCACAGCAGAGAGCTGGCCTGGAAGAGGGGCAACCGGGACAGTACCCGGCGCCCCGACCGGGACTAGAACCTGGTGTGCCGGCGCCACTAGGTGGAGGATTAGCCTAGTGAGCCACGGCGCCGGCCCTCTTATTTCCATTTTCAATGATAACAAACACCTTTTTTTTTTTTTCCCTACAAATGTATTCCCCAATTCAATCTGGGCTGCCACAAAGACAGACAGTACAGGGATTTTTTCTTTGGCATCCTAGTGCAAACCAAAAGAACAGTTAATTGTTCCAGGTCTATCAGTGGATACAATGTAGCAGCCTTATTAACAGTCCCAGGCTAGGAGCAATGCACATGTCCTTCCGGTAGTAAATGGTTAGTTGCATTGCCCATCTATACCATGGACTACGACTTGGCAATAAAAATGAACAGGCTATTAATATGTTTAAGTGTTTTCATCTACTTGCAAGGCACAACGAGGGTGGGGAGCAGGAGCGCACCTCCATCTGCTGGCTCATTCCCCAAATGCCCACAACAGCGAGGACAAGGCCAGGAGCCCAGAACTCCTGAGTTTCCTGCCTGGGTGGCAGGGGCCCAAGCACTTGAGCCATCCTCTGCTGTCTCCCAGGACGCATTAGCAGGGAGCTGGACGGGAAGTGGAGTGGAGTCAGGACCCAGAGGGGCTGCCGCTTAGCCAGCTGCAGCACAGCACCCACCCTGGGAAGGAACTACTGACCCGGACAGTTGAGAGAAACCTGCAGGGTTGTGTCGAAGCAAGCCAGTCCCCACGGAACATATTCTCGACTTCCATTAACCTTAGCACCTGCAAATGGCCCCGTTGCAGACCTGCAGCTGAGAATGGCAAACTGGCATTTGCTGGGAGTTGGGGCAGGCGGGGGTGAGGAGGGAGTGGCTGACGCTACCTCAGGGCGGCGGCGGGGGGGGGGGTGGTGGTCCTGGTGCGAAGGGGAGTTGGGAGCATTCAGCATCCTGACTGCAGCCGTGTGGGCAGTCTGGTCAGGACCCTGTAATACAGTTTGGTGAGACTGTATGGGGCAAATAGTAAAAAATTCATGGATCCTCCTGACATATTTCTTACAACTCTATGTGAATCTAAAGCCAAAAGAAAACTGTTTAATATGAAAAACAGACATAACTTGGAAGCGTGGCCAGATTTTGGATGTGAAAGCAGACAGGACAGGCACAGGACAGGCACAGCAGCACGTGCACCTTGAGAGTAACCGGCTTTCAGTGTTTGGGGTCCACTGCACAGCCACAGCCGAAGGGGTTAATGGGTAGACTTTTTTTTTTTTAAGATTTTTATTTATTTGACAGAGTTACAGACAGTGAGAAAGAGACAGAGAAAAGGTCTTCCTTCTGCTGGTTCACCCCCCAAATGGCCGCTACGGCCAGCGCTGCGCCGATCCAAAGCCAGGAGCCAGGTGCTTCCTCCTGGTCTCCCATGCGGGTGCAGGTGCCCAAGCACTTGGGCCATCCTCCACTGCACTCCCAGGCCACAGCAGAGAGCTGGACTGGAAGAGGAGCACCTGGGACTAGAACCCGGCGCCCATATGGGATGCTGGCGCCGCAGGCGGAGGATTAACCAAGTGAGCCATGGCGCCGGCCCCATCGAAAGAAGTTTAAAAAAAAAAAAAAAAAAAAAAAAACTTCATTTCTCTGCTTCTCTTCCCAAACTGACTGTCATTTCCCAAAAATCCTCCTGGATATTGGGAGACACAGGCAGAGCAGGAAGCGACCTGAAGTCGGGGGAAGGTACCGTAGCCGCAGGGATGTGGAGGCGTGTAGCCGGGGAAGGGCTGGGCTGGTGGGACCTGTTAGCGGGGCCAGCCAGAGGGCAATCCCGTTATTCCCAAGTGTGCAAGAGACCTACGTGAAGGTGGCCGGGGGAGGGGGGGCGTGGCATTTTGGATTTTACCTTCCACAGAGCTCCTGCTTATGGTCCACTGAGACTGGGAGATCACAGTGCCTACGGTTCAGTGGTCTGCACAGCTCCACACACCCGTGTACCCAGCACTGGGAATGCAGGAAGTGACCCAGCCCGAGGCCGCGTCAGGCCCCGCCCCGTAGTTCCCCCCCCCCTCTGCCCTCTCCCATGGGAATCATACCCTGCGCTCGCTTGCGCCCGCCGGATGTTGGCAGGGTTAATTCGTGACAGTGACAGTTTGTGTGAGGTCGCACTCACTTGCTGAAGCTCCCTCTCACTGCCCCCAGAGTGGAGTGCGGATCCCTTCCGGAAGGGGCCCGGGCGGCTGGCAGCGGGCGGGCGCTGAGAGGAACAGGGCTGCCCGATCAGCGCCGTCCGTGTGTTCGGAGCGCACTAGCTGTGTTCCCTGGGTCACGGGATACACGCACGTTCAGCCTTGGGCAGCTTCCCCAAGATGGCCGGCACCCTTCACACTCCCAGCAGTTCTTGTCTGGGTCTTCCCTAAAGTGCAGCTCTGGGTCTTAGAGCCGAGCCACTGCAGAGCGGGAACTGTGTGTGCTGGTTTCAAGGAGGAGCAGTGAAATCGCCCAGCGGGCCGCGTCCTCGGCACGACCACGCGGGCAGGCAGTGGGGGCCCAGCACTGGCCGAGGAAGTCTTCCTTCCATTCAGAAAAGAGGGCATCTGGCGTAGGCCTGCACTGATGGGAACAAGGTGGCCAGGGACGGCAGAGAAGACAATAACCTGGCACAGGCTCGGAGCCAATTGGTGAGAAGAGGGCCAACAGTTAGGACAGAGCCCTCTTTATCTCAGCAGAAACCATGCCCAAGCCAGGAGAGCTTCTCCTAAGACCCAGGTCTCTCCTAAAGCAGCCAGCGGCCCTCCCACAGGTGCCCCCCCCCCCCATTCCCCAAGTCAGGTGCAGCCGCTCCCGGCTCTGATACTGAGCATTCCACCTCCTGTCTTTTGCCTTCCCCTGTTCATCATTCAGCTCCTTGGGGCCCCCCAATCTCTGAGCCCACGCTGGAGGAGGAGGAAGTCTCCCCTCCCCAACAACCTCTGAGTCCCAGCGGGACAGCCACTACTCAGTCCACAGCCTCTGGACGTGACCCGTTCCGGCCACGGCCACGACGTGGTCTTTGAATCCCAGACTTGATTTATTTAGAGCCTCTGACTCCACTCCGGCCAGGCTTACGTGCGACTGTTTCACCGCAGATCGGTGCCAAGGCTCAGCTGTAACTCGCAGTGTTTTATCCACTTGAGAAGCAGAGATAAAGAGCGAGCTCCTACCCACACACACTTGCGCCTGGGGTGCCCCCCAGGGCTGGGCAGAACTAACGGCGGCGGTGGCAGAAGCCCAGACACCTGAGCCAGCCTTCGCTCTCCGCCAGGGCGCACGCACAGCAGCAGAGGAGCGGACTGGGACCCCCGAACCCCGGCACTCCGACCCGGCACGGGGGGCCTTAGCCGCGGGGCCAAATGCACACCTTTCGGTCTGTTTTTCAAGCTGACCGCTCCTCACTGTTTGCTGGGGGAGCCTTAGCCCGTGGGCCCCGCGGGCGCGCCCTGGCCGCCTCGTGTGCGGGCCCGGCCGAGACCGCGGTCGTAGCCCGCAGCTGTGAGCTGCGCCCGCACGCTCTCGGCGCCGTGGACGGATGTGGGGTCCAAGATCAGCACGCCCCAAACGGGAGTCCACGTGTAGCGCTAGCTCTCCTGTGTGTGCATAAAAACACGGAAAAAGGAGACCTGGCGGGGGCTTGCAGCCTCCCCCTGAGGGCGGCCCGCAGGGGCCCAGAGCTGCCAACGGTCGCGCGGAGGCCGGAGGCCCGGGGCTCCCGGTGACCCACGGGGCTCGCCGCAGGTGACAGCTTGTGCAGCAGTCGGCCATCTCCAAAACAGCGACTCGCGCAAGGGCCGCAGAAAGCCTCCCCAACGGGACGGGGAGCTGCCCCGGGGGAGGTTACCTGCAGGGGGCGGGGGAGGACAGACCGTGGGGCCTGGGACTGGGTTCCAGCTGCTGGGAGGCCTGCCTGGGAGGGAGCCCGAGTGGGAAGCCGGCGCCCCGCGCTGCCCAGGGCCGCTGGTGCGAAAGGGGCGAGGCTGGCGCCGGCGGCTGCGTCTTCCCGGCGCCCCGCGCGCCCAGCACGGGCAGGTGCGGCGTGGGCCGCAGACACCGACGGAGCGGTTCCCCATCTAGGGTGTGAGAGCCCGGGGTTTGAAAAACCACCAGAGCGCAGACCCCACCCGGAGCCATAGGAGCAGCTCCCGGGCTGGGCGCTGGCTGGTTGGGAGCGCGCTCCAGGGGCCTGGGCCGTGATGCCACCCGTGATCTGTTTTCTAGAAGACTCAGTCCCTAGGAGCCGGCTTCTAGGACCTCCACACCCACACGGGACTTCAAAAACACCCGTGTCCTGAAATGATCGGGGGGACTGGTGTCGTGGTAAAAACCAAAGCGCAGGTGTCCTGCTTACCTGTTCACCGCCTGTTCTGGCTGTAACTGGGAAAACTGGTTTCACGTGGAAACCCACCTGGGCCTCCACAAACCCCGCATGGACTGCACATTCTCACGTGTGGACAACCAAACAGCCTCGTTTCAAACATACTGTTGTTTTTTTTTTCCTTAGAAAGGAGTGCTACTGGTGTCAGAGACAAGGTGCATTTTACAGCGCTTCGTCCGCTGTAAAAGGATTGTTCAAAAAGCACCACCCAAAAAGGTGCTGCCCGAGCAAACTGGAAGGTTCCCGGATATAAACCAGGGCCTTCGAGCTACTCCTCAGCGAATGCAAAGGATGACAAGTGTCAGTGCTTCATACAACTAGATTTAATAAGTTGTTATTACAGAAAAAAAAATGAAGTCCAAACTACAAAGTTTCAGCAGTTTTAAGCAATAGCCGCATTGAAGCTCCATGGTTAGTCACAGGACTGTAGTTCCGTACAAGCAATATAAATCCAAGCCCCAAAGGCAGAAGCTGAGGAAGGGTTACTAGCAAAAACAATCTAAGAGAACAGGTAATAAAAGATACAATCCATTGAAAATTAGTTGTTAGTTGGAAAACAAATACAGAGATCTTAGCTATGAACACTCTAAAAGTTATGTCCATTATTTTCACAGCAAAAATACAAATACCTAATACTTTATACCCCAACAGAACTGGAGCCAGCAAAGAAAAAGAACCCAAGTTCTCCTGTAGTGGCATCCGAGTTATCGTCGCAATCAACTTGGTTGCCATACAAACTTCAACACCCCTGCCCCCAACCACAGAACTACTTCGTGTCCCATTTTTGGGGTATAAAGTCAACAGCATTAATTATAAGATACTCTGTGGTAAGATGGAACACTATTGCAGCTGAGAGAGAAGTGTGGTTATT